ATTATCCTGGTTCCTGTAGTTATGTCTGGATACATACTCACTTATCAGGATTTGGTTCTAGGGTTTACATATGAGGGAGAATATACATCGATTTTTTATGTTTGTTTTGTTTTGTTTTCTGAGCCTGTGTTACTTCACTTAGTATAAAAGTTTCTAGATCCATCTATTTACCTGCAAATTTCGTGATTTCATCTTTCTTTATTGCTGAGTAAAACTCCATCGTATAAATGAACCACATTTTCATTATCCATTTGTCAATTGAGGGACACTTAGGTTGCTTCCATCTCTTAGCTATTGTGGAAAGAGAAGCAACAAACATGGATGTACAAGTGTCTGCAATAGGATGAGTTCTTTGGGTACATGCCAAGGAGTGGTGGCGGGGCCAGGCCCAGAAGCAGTGCTCCTGGGGCCCAGAGAAGGCACTGCGTTGGTCTGCATGGAAAGGATCAGGAAGCAGTATTGATTCCCCAGGTATCTGAGGCCCCAAGACAAGGAATGGGACAGGACCCAAACTCGGAGGAGAGAATGGCAGGGGTGATGGGAGGGTGAATGGGGCTGGGGAGTTAAGGCGCGGAGGGCGCAATGGACTTACTCAGGAGAGAGGCCTGTGGGTAGGAGAGACTATTTCTTCTTTTGAGAACGCTCTGTTCACCTCCTTAACCCATCTTTTAATTGGGTTACTTCCTGTCTTGATTCTTTTTTTTGAGTTCCCATTATATATTCTGGATGTTAAACCTCTGTCAGATGTGTTGCTGGAGAAGATTTTCTCCCATTCTGTGCAATTTCTCTTTACTTCCTTGGTTGCTTCTTTTGATGTAGGGAAGCTTTTTAGTTTAATGAGCTCCCATTTGTTTGCTCTTGACGACTTATTTCCTGAGCAATTGAATTCTGGTTTAAAAAATCCTTTCCTACACCTATTTCTTGTAGGTTATTGCCAATGTTTTCTTCTAACAGTTTCAGAGTTTCAGGCTTCACATTGAGATCTTTGATCCATTTGGAGTTGACTTTTGTGCAAGGTGAAAAATAGGAATTTAGCTTCATTCTTCTACAGGTAGAGATCTAGTTTTGCAAGCACCATTTGCTGATCATGCTGTCTTTCCTCCAGTGAATGTTCTTAGCCCCTTTGTCAAATATCAGGTGGCTGAAACTGCATGTACTCATATTTAGATCTTCAGTTTTGTTCCATTGATCTACGGGTCTATTTTTGTGCCAGTACCATGTTGTTTTGATGACTGTAGCTCTTTAATACAGTTTAAAATCTGGTATAGTAATCCCTCTGGCATTGCTCTTAGTGCTCAGGGTTGCTTTGGCTATCCAAGGTCTTTTGTGCTTCCACATGAATATTAGGATGTGTTTTTCCAATTCTGTGAAAAAACGTCATGGGGATTTTTATTGGCATTGCATTGAATCTATAAATGGCTTTGGTGGGATGGTCATTTTAACAATATTAATTCTTCCAATCCATGAGCATGGGAGGTACTTCCATCTTCTGATGTCTTCCTCAATCTCCTTCTTTAATGATTTAAAATTTTTGTTGCAGAGGTCTTTAATGTCAGGTCTTTAAATGCAGAGGTCAGGTTTATTAGGAGATATTTTATTATTCTTTTTTGCAGCTATTGTGAAAGGGAGTGTTTCCATGTGCTCTTTCTCTGATTGCTTATTATTGGTATATAGAAAGGCTACAGACTTTTGTAGATTAATTTTGCACCCTGCCACTTTACTGAACATATTAATAATTTCTGGAGTCTTCTGGTATAATTTTTTGGCATCTCTTAGGTATAATATCACATCATCTGAAAAAAGGGATAATTCAATCTCTCTTTTTCAATTATTACTCCTTTAATTTCCTTCTTTTGTCTTATTGGTGTTGCAAGAGTTTCACGAAAAAAATGTCTCTTAGATATCATACCATCTGCAAAAAGGGATAATTTGAGCTCTTCTTTTCTAATTATTACTTCTATAATTTCCTGCTCTTGTTTTATTGCTCTTGCAAGAGTTTCAAGCACTATGTTAAAGAGAAGTGGAGATAGTGGGCAGCCTTGTCTGGTTCCTGATTTCAATGGGAATACTTCCAGCTTTTCTCCATTTAGAATGATGTTGGCTGTGGGTTTGTTATATATGACTTTAATTATGTTGAGGTATGTTCCCTCCAGTCCAATTCCCTCTAGGACTTGGAACATAAATGCATTTTGAATTTTGTCAATGACCATGTGTTTCTCATCTTTGAGCCAATGTATATGATTTATGACATTTATTGACTTACGTATATTGAACCATCCCTGCATCTCTGGAATAAAGCCTACTTGATCATGGTGAATGATCTTTTTGATGTGTGTCTGTATGCGGTTTACAAGTATTTTGTTGAGAATTTTTGCATCTATGTTCATTAAGGATATGGGTCTATAGTTTTCTTTTTTGGTTGTATCTTTACCTGGCTTTGGTATTAGAGTGATGCTGGCTTCATAGAAGGAATGTGGAAGTTCTCCCTCCATTTCTATCTTTTCAGGTTTTGTATTACAGTTTCAATTTCCTCATGTGTTGTAAGTCTGTTTAAGCTGTTACTCTCTTCTTGGTTTAGTTTTGATGGTTCCCATGCTTTTAGATACCTGTCCATTTCTTTTAGATTTTCAAATTTAGTGGCGTATAGGTTTCTAAAGTATTCCCTTATAATGTTCTGGATCTTTTTGGTGTCTGTTGTGATGTTTCCCCTTTCATCTCTGATTTGGTTGATTTGTAGGTGCTCTTTCTTTTTGTTGGTTAACTGGGTTAGCAGTCTGTCAATCTTGTTTACGTTTTCCAAGAACCAGCTCTTGGATTTGTTGATTCTTTGTATTGTTTTCTTTGTTTCTATTTCATCAATTTCTGCTCTGAATTTCATTATTTCTTCTTGTCTGCTGGGTTTGGGTTTTATTTTTTGTTGCTTTTCAAGTGTCTTGAGTTGCAATGTTAAGTCATTTATTGTGTTCTTTCTGATTTTTTAATGTAGGCACTTAAAGCTATAAACATCCCTCTAAGGATTGCTTTCAATGTATCCCAAAGGATTTGTTGTGTTGTATTGTCCTTTTCATTTAGTCCAGGAATACTTTTATTTCTTTCTTAATTTCCCCTTTGAGCCATTCATCATTCAGAAGATCTCCAGTCTTGCTTCCAGAACTCTCTGAAGGGCTGGTTTTGTGGACATGAATTCTTTCAGCCTATTTATGTCATGGAAGATTTTTATTTCCCCTGCAACTATAATAGACATTTTGGCTGGATATAGTAATCTGGGTTGGCATCTATGGTCATTTAAAACTGGGAGTACTTTAGTCCAGGCTCTTTTGGCTTTCATAGTTTGCACTGAAAATTCAGCTGAATCCTAATGGGTTTTCCTTCATATGTGACTTGTTGTTTCTCAGTATTGTCTCTTTGTTTTATACGTTTAGTGTTTTTACTATGATGTGCTGTGGAGAGTTTCTTTTCTGGTCCTCTCTATTTGGTGTTCTACATGCTTCTTGTATTTGTATGGGCATTTCTTTGTTTAATTTTGGGAAATTTTCTTCTACAATCCTGTTGAAGATCTGGTCCATACCACTGTACTAAGATTCTTCTCCTTCCTATAGGTCTATGATTTGTAAGTTTGGTCTTTTTATGATGTCACACAATTTCTACATATTCCATTCTTGTGTTTTCTTAAATTTTTCATAATGTTTGCTTGAGTGGACTAATTTGTCCACTTTATCTTCCAGTCTTGATATTCTGTTTTCCATTTCATTCATCCTATTGGTGAGGCTTTCTCCTGTCATTTCTAATTGGCCTACTGAGTGTTTCACTTCCTTCTCCTTTTCAGCCTGAGTAATCTTCAACATTTCTAACTCTTTTCTGAATTCATTCAGAAGTTTATCCCTATCTTCCTTCAGTTCTTTGATTTCTTTGTGTTTTCTTTAAATTCACCGAATTCTTTTATCATGTTTATAATTGTTCTTTTGGGTTCCATGTCCTGCATTATCTCTAGGGGGTTCTCATTTTACTCCTCTAGAGGACTGTTGGTACTGGTGGGGATATATTATTTTGATTTTTCATATTATTATTTTTTTTTCTGTGACTTTATGACATGTAGATTTCTTTTGTAGTTTCTGATTCTTGTGTGAAACTCAAGCCTTCCTTTGTTGAGTTTAGGTCTGCTTCTTTTTGTGAACTTTATGTGTCTTTGTGGTTTACTTGTTGGCCATAAAAAGCTGGTTGGGCTAGGCTTCTGGTTCTCTCTTTTGATTTTTTATTGGAGTGGCTGGATTGCTTTTGTCTTCAAGAGTTCCCCCAGAGCCCAATTCAGATGAGGATCAGATGCTCTCAGGCTTTCTCCTAAGGTCTGGATCCTTACAGGAAAGATGCCGACCTCAGGAATTTGGGGGTTGGGCTGGCCTGGGAGCAGGGCCCAGGAAAGATGCTGGTCCCAGGAAGTTGGTGGCTGTGCCACCCAGGGATGCAAAAGAAGGTGGGGACAGGAAGAGGCCCCTGAGGGCTCCTGGGGACTACTGGGAGGACCTGGGTGCAAAGGATCAGGAAGCAGTGGGGATTCTGGGCCAAAAGGTCAGTCCAGGGGTCTGGGCCACCAAGACAAGTAATGGGCCAGTACCCCGGCTAGGAGGAGAGATGGAGTGGGTTAGCTGGGAGGGTGAATGAGGCTGGGGGAGTCAAGGCACAGTGGGCACCATGGGACTCACCCAGGAAAGATACTGGCACCAGAAAGCTGGTGGTTGTGCCGCCCAGGGCTGCAAAGCTGGAAAAAGTTTTTAAAAAGTAAAAGTTAATTACAACAGTTGCTCCTTTAAAATTTAGTCTACATCAGGGTTTTTAACCATGAAATTGTTAACACTTGGGGCAAGATAATGACTGCTGTGCTGCGTGGGCAGGCTTGTGCTTTGTAGCATATTTAGCAAGGTTCCTGACCTCTTGTCTACCAACTGTTATTAACTGCTGCTTCAGAGTAACAGCCAAAATGTCTCTACTCACTTTGAATGACTCCAGGAGATAAAATAATATCTGCAGTTCATCTACAATAAAATTGGTGATTTCACAGTTATTGAAAATGAACTATGCAGATATAAAATCATGCTTTATTTTCTCTATTGAAGTATAACTTGTATTTCTCATATCAAGGTGTAAGAAATAGAACATTTTAGTATTGCTTAATATTTCAATATTTGTGTTTCAAAAGTATTGGCTCAGTCGAGCTTGGTTGCACACACCTGCGATCCCAGCACTTGTGAGCCTGAGGCAGTGGAGTCAAGAGTTTCAAGTCAGCTTAAGGTACACAGCAAGTTCCTGACTTGGACAACCAAGGGCTAGGGTTGTAATTCGGTGGTAGAGTCCTTTCTTGGCATGTGCAAGGTCCTGGGATCAACCTCTAACACCAGGGAAAAGAAGGCAAAGAAAAATTATTATGTTCCAGAAGAATTATGCAGTTTTTGAAGCTTCAATGAAATTTAGTCACATAATACAGTTATAATACAGTCATCTCTTCATTTTTCTTTAGCTGACAGTACAACATCATATCTCGTTTTTTGAGACAGGATCTGACTATGTAGCCCTGGCTGACCTGGAATTTACTATGTAGGTCATGCTGGCCTTGAACTCACAGAAATTTACCTGCCTTTGCCTCCCATGTGCTAGGATTGAAAGCATACACCACCTGGCCAAAACATTTTTTAAAACATGTTTTTAACCCTCAAGGAGTTCCCAGTTTAAGGGAGTCAGATAAATAGATATATTTAGTGATAGAGCTTTTTGAGAACCATAATAACTCACTTCATTGGTGAAAAGTCTGAAGGCCAAGAAGACATTAATACCCTCCAATATCACAATGAATTAAAGCCACAGTCAAATCGCCTGGCTGAGAACAGGATTTTTCCTTCTTACCTAAACCTCATAGATGTACAAAACAAAACAAGCAGGAAAATCTAAGTCAAATCTGTTTTGACTTGTAGCTATCACTCAACAATAGCATCTTGTCTATTATAAGTGGAAACAAAGCCGCTGGAAAATATAAGCTAAAAGAACAAGCTCTCCTTTTAGAAGTAGAGCTTGAAAAGTTTGTCCCAGTTTAAAGCCACAGAAAGGTAGCAGAATTCATGGCTGCTCACTTGGCCTGTCAGACAGAAATCAATAGTCATAAACACGAGAGGGGAAAGAAATCATTGTGGAGCAGTTGACACAGAGTGACTAACTTAAAAACCTGATGATTGCTCTGAGGCACTTCTATTATTTCCCCACAATTTTTATTATGTATGGTTTTATAAAACAAGCCATTCCGGAGGGGGCGCTCCATGTCTTTGCTCCTCTGTCTTTTCAGCTTGAACAAGTGTTACTTGAGGATGTGTTACCTGTGCAAGAAGATGATTCTTTAATGTCTTCACACCCAATTGTTGTTACTGTGTCAACTCCCGCTGAAATAACTTCTGTGTTTGATGGAATATCATACAGCAAGGTAGGCAAGACATGACCTTGTATTGAACATCTTCCTGTTTATTGACTTTCAGTAGATGCAGATGCCAAAAGAAAGAAGGTTAAAAAATGTTTAGATTCTTCCTGTGGGCTCTGGGAAACTGGAGAATGCAGTGCTAAATTTTCAATAGCTGCTTCTCTGTAGTTTAACAAATAAATGCTGAACATTGCCACAGGATTTTAAACCCAGCTTCCCACATTCTTTCTTTTCCCTTTTGCTTAAAGTCACTTTCATTCTGACAATTAAACATGTTTTTATCTTAAATGTTAAAATTGAGTGGTCTTTTAATTTGTACATTATATTATTTTTTTCTGTAGGGGAGGGTGTCCACTTGTGCATGTGGCGGTCAGAGGACAGCTTGGGATGGGTCAGTTCCCTTCACCTTTCACCATCTGGGTCCTGCAGATCCAACACAGACCATCAGCCTTGACAGCAAGTGCATTACCATCTTAGCAGCACTTAATATTTTTCTTAAAAGATAATCTTACTGTTCTGCTGTGTGGTCAGTGAGAAATGCCGTCTTCAAGGGCAACTTTCCTAGTAGAAAATGTTTACAACAAACACAAAATTTAATGTTCACAACAAACATTCAAATTCAATTTAATTGGAGGGGAAAATCTTTATCCCTTTTTGCATAAGATGACTGTGTTTGCATACTGTAGATGAGGGACTTTTACCAACGAAAGCTTTATGAGCTGCGGCTGACAACGCGCAATCCCAAGCTTTTGCTTCCCATTCTCCCTCACAATCCTTCACAATGGCAGTTTCACACATATCCCATACTTACATGCAACATAATTTAAATTTTTATTTGAATAATTTTCTATCTCAGTTCCTCATGGTTTAACCATTACATTAAGTTACTCTAAAGCTACTGTTATCTTGGATGAAGCATAAACACAATTACATACATTTATAATTATTAAAATGAGTACTTATTAAAATTGGCTTAAGTGACAAAGCTATTATTTGAAATTTATGGCATATTCTGTGACTTTCCTTCTCATAATATTCCCATGGCATCTTTCCAGGTTTCATTTTCTTCTTTTAAGTTATTGGTGATATGTTCTGTTTTAGTAACACACACAGGGAAAATTAGAAGCAATTCTCCAAGTCCTGGATGTTCCAGAGGCTTTAAATATTGTTAGAAATAAACAGATGGTTTTTATTTATTCTTTATTTTTTAGAGAAATGTAAAAGTTACTAAGTGGGGAGGCAATATTCTTCTGATCCATTACTTGAAAATTGACTTAAAATATTACAGATATTGCATTTCAGTATTAGCCCACTGGGTTCAGTATTAAACCAGTGAAAGAATTTAGAAGCAGAGGCACTCCTCCAATTCTTCAGCTGCATAAAAGCCAAATAAAATGAACCATTTTTGAAGAGAAAGGTTTTATGCCTACATTGTTTATCTAGTCATGTTAAACAATTTAATAGCCATTTTATTCTCTGCTTTATTCTGTTAAATATAATTTTTTCCCACATGAGTCTATGCCACATGATTTACCAGAATATTACCCTGAAATTACAGCTTCATTCAAGAATGTAATTTGGGGACCGCTTTTTCTTGCATCAACAAAGTGCCATCTGCTGGCTCACTTGGGGAAGTGCAGTAACCAGTGGAGCCTAGTTTACCTTGTCCTTGTTTAGAAGTATCTGTAGTGTGCCAAGTGGTGCTTTCATCCTAAATCATATCGCTGTAACCATGTAATTCAGAAGGATGATCTCTGAGAAGTAAGCTCAAAGACTTAATCATGACATGCCACAGCGGTGGGGACTGACCACAATTCCTCGCATTGCTTTTGGATTAATCTGTCTTTTTTCTCACCATAGGGAGCTTCTATTCTGAGAATGCTTCAAGACTGGATAACACCAGATAATTTTCAAAAAGGTTGCCAGGTATGCTTTATTAGTTAGTGATGGTAAAAGTAAACTATACAGATAGATTGCTGATGATTGTTAAGCTACATTATTGATTGACGAAAATTACCTCTTACTTTCCCTGCATAGGGACAGATAAGATAGGAAACAGTTAAAAGGAGACTTTGAATCAAGTTAAGATTCCACACTTTATCTGTAACAATCATTTACCAAAAGCTGCATGGAGAAGTTAAGGTGGATTGCTTAGTGATCCTGGCTATTCTTTACATATGTGGTCGGTAGCCGCTGTGACAAAATATTGTAGACTTGATGGTTTAAACAACCAGTTATTTTCTCACATCACTGGAGGTAAGTCCAAGACCAATGTGCTGCTAATTCCCGTAACAACACAACACAAACATCTAAATCTATCTCTGCGAGTCTTCTCATACAGAAAGTATAATATCTTTCCTTATTATTGAGTTGGAAAACAATTTCAGCACTCTTACTCTTATGGAACTGATGAGTAATGAGACTGTGTTTCCTCTTGGGAAGGGAAACAAAGAGTACATCTTATGCTCGACTCTCTCTTGTGCAAAAATATCACCCAGTGGACATTTTATTTTTGTTGATGTTCTCCTAGAAGATCCTGAGTCACTGATCTCAGGGCTGGCATTTCATACTCTAGACTATTAAAGTAGACACAGCATGTCCTTTTAACTGGCCTGTTTTCTGGATGGGCCTGTGTCATTCTAGATACAGAGCCACACCAGCTGCTTGCCTCCCCCTCCATTCTCCCTGCTGTGCTAGCCAGGGACTCGGAGGGGGTGGGGAGCGGAGTGCTGGTGGCATCCAGCCTAAACAGCAGGAAAGAGAAACCTTTTACAGTGTATCAGTTCGTCATCATGTGATTTCCCAGGATGATGCTGGGCAGTGCCTCCACTCCTGTAGCTCCAGCTATTGCTTCTCCGAGGTGGCGCTTAGCTCTCTCTATGATTCCCCCAAAGGGAAGTTGTTCTTTTTGGACCTAAAATGCCCACGTGACTATTAAAGTACCAGCAAAATGCAGGAATCATTTTGGGTGCACACAAGGACATTTCACTCCTTTGTTCATTAATGAAATGGTCTGTGAGGATAGGTGGTGATACAGAGAAGCTCTCCTTGCGCTTATGCAACCTTTCAATGAGCTTCAAACTCAAAAGTCACCACATCTCATTGTCCATCTTTATGGAGGCTCTGTCAGTTTATGCTTCACTGTCTATAGAATTCTTCACACATATGGGTGATCTAGATGTTTGTTGAGTGAATGAATGGTCTACAATGGACTGGGTAGAACAAAATAAAGAAAACTTACTTTCAAAAATTAAGTTACAATTCCATTGATATAGTTTCACTCTAAATTGTCACCCATGAATAATGCATTCTTGGCGTCTTCAGAGCCAACTCTAAATTAAATGGTCCTTCATATAACTTTCTAGAAAAGTATCAGAAGAATCCTTAAAAGTGGATTGCTAAGCTAATAATTCAATAATAATTTAATATCTCCTTTAATCTGATGTCCACTATAATTTGAAAAGGCTCATCTAAAACTAATATTTCTCAAGTCATAATAGTCTTCTGCTCTAATCATGACTACAGATGATCCCAAAAATTTAATTAGGATCAGTAGATGCTGGCTTTTCATACCACGATAATGTTACGAATGAATTTATAGAAAAAAATACACCAAAGTACTCACTGTTTTTTTTTCAATTTTCAAATCTGGCTGATATCTGAAAATAGTATATATTAATACAGAGCACTTTAACAAGCTCTCATCATCTAGGACAATTTAGAATGAAACTATATAAATGGAAACCTCCCAACAGAACCCCCCCTTGGACTGCTGTCATCAAACCACAATTCTTACCCGAGTCCTGTGGTTCAGGAAATGAGTTCAAGGTGTTTCTGCCCAGAGTGGCTCTCCATTGGGAACAGACAGATACAGAACCTGGGTGGGGCCAGCTGTCTGCTTTCTCTCATGCCCCCAAGTGCAACATCACATGGCAAAATAATGCGGCTGTCAACTACAAACCCTTAAGGCCAGGCTTGTGCATTTTAAAGTGAGCATTGGTAACAACACACAGTTATGAGAAATAGGTGCATCTTTGTTTTCTACTAGAATTAATAATACTCCTGGTAAGAGAACAGCTAGGCTGGGAAATGTCCTTTCTGGGACACTAACAATAGACACATATTTTTCCCTTTGTGCTCACTAATGCCAACTAACATGGGGCTATGGCCCAGGTTGTCATGCAAATTAGGCTACAAGGACAATACTGTAGGGCTGGCGAGATGGCTCAGTGGTTAAGAACACTTGCTGTTCTTCGAGAGGACTCGGGTTCGATTCCCATCACCCACATGGCAGCTAACTACTGTCTGTAACTGCAGCTTCAGGGTATCTGATACCCTCTTCTGGCCTCTGTAGGCTTTGCATGACACTGGTGCATTTACATACATGCAGGCAATATACCCACACACATAAAATAAAAAATAATATATAAAATATTTTTAAAAAGATATGATTATCTCCCTTTTCAAAGGGAAGAAGAGAAATTCTTAGTACAGAATATACTGGTCTAGACAAAATAAAAGTAGTATCTTGTAGTAGTATTTATATGAATTTCCATTCAGCCTCTAGCTCAGGTGGAGCAATAAATTACAATGCAAAAAGAAACAATGCCAGATGAACACCCACACTGGTCCAGGATTCAGACTCTCCTAAGAGGCTCAGGCAAGTCCACCCTTCCTCTAAGGACACTGAGACAATTAGGGCAGTTTCTTTCACCTCAAACATGTGGGCGCTGTATTAAATAAAATTTAACATCCAATTACAAGATTGTCTATATCTGAGCTCACGACCTTATGCACACAGAAATAAACCCCTTAGCAAAAGGACAGACACAAGTTCAAAGCCGCCCTGGGCTACACAGAGAGATCCTGTCCCCCAAATAAATAAACAACAACAAAACATCTATGAGAAAAACTCAAATTCAATTTTATGAAAGTACTAAAGAGCAGAAAAAGACACTGGCACATAGCTGTAGTTGGAATTAATTATACTAAGTTTCCAATCGTTTCATGAAGAGTCAATGGATGATTAGTGTAACACTCTGGAAGCAAGACCAGAAACAGTTGCAGAGCCTCCTTCCCTTCCTTCGCCTGCCCTCTGGCGGCAACGTTGAAAAGTGAATTAGCCAAAAGAACTAATAAAGAGGCTCCAATCTAGCCTCAGCCCTGCCCCAGTCTTCCCAGAGTTTTGCTAATTTTGTTTTATCTCTCTGTGCCTGAAATAAAGAGGAATTTAGATGATAATGTGACTTAGATCTAGCACCTACTGAAAATTATAGAAACTTAGAGTGAGCATGTTATATACAAAGCTAACCACTAAGAACCACTAAGAAAACTTTAAAAAGTCTTTTTTTCTACACAAAATGTCCACAGGTAAAGGAGCACAAATCTAGAAAGCACTGGGAGAGACACAGCAGGAACTTTGACAGGTCTCCTCAAGACATCCTCCCTCTTTGAGCAATGAGCAGTTAGAGGCTTAGGAAAAGACTGGGAATTTCCTCTGGGAATGTATCATGCTATTTCTGAAATTCCTGTACAGAGGGGTGTTGTGAACAGAACTGTGAAAGGGGGGCGTTTTCTCTATAAAATATTTGTTTTAAAATTATTTGAAGGTGGAGACTTATTCCTTAAAATAAATAATAGGGCTAGAGATATGGCTCAGTAGTTTAGAGCAGTGACTGCTCTCTCAGAGGGCCCAGGTTCGGTTCCCAGCACCCACATGGCAGCTCACAACTGTCCATAACTGGAACTGTCCCCTGTTCCAGGAGAGTCAACACTCTCTTCTGGTTTCTGTGGGTATTGCAAGACATGGGAGTGTTTACAGACATGCAGGCAAAGCACTCTTACACATAAGATAAAAATAAATACTCAAGAAAAATCATTTTGCCAGGCATGGTGATGCACACCTTTAATCCCAGCAGTTGGGAGGCAGAGACAGGCAAGTCTCTGAGTTCGAGGCCAGCCTGGTCTAATAGGGAATTCCAGGCCAGCTGGGGCTATAGGGAGACCCTGTCTCAAAAAAACCAAAAAAAAAAAAAAAAGAAGAAGATGAAGACGACGAAGAAGAATCATTTCTTCAGTTCATCCATCACCATCTTCATCATCTTTATGCAGAACTTTGCATACTCATTTCCTTAGCACAGCAAAGCCAGCTTGTTACCGTTGTTTATAAAGTTCATGCACTAAAGAAGGCTCCGCCCTGTAAGATGGTTGAACAACCCAAAGAATATTTAATAACATGAAAATGACACGGCATTCAAATATCAATGTCCGTGAATGGTGTTTTACTGGGAGAAAGCCATAAGCATTGTTTGCATGCTTTTCTGGTTCCTTCTTTGCTGAGGGAGGAGGCAGCTGAGTGGCTGAGGAGGGGTTCAGGCATGCTGAGGTATGAGAAAGCCCAAGGCTGACTTCTGAAACACTCCTCTTTTATATGCAGATTTACTTGAAAAAATTTCAATTCAAGAATGCAAAAACTTCAGACTTTTGGGAGTCGCTGGAAGAGGTAAGAAATGGTGCGTTCTTTATGATTGATCTCACCCTTCTGTTTTCTCTGGTTTATAAATTAAACTCTGCTTTTTTTTCTAATCTCAGGCAAGCAATCTACCAGTGAAAGAAGTGATGGACACCTGGACTAGTCAGATGGGTTATCCTGTGCTTAATGTGAACAACAGGCAAAATATCATACAGAAACGCTTTCTGTTGGACTCCAAAGCTGATCCTTCTCAGCCACCATCTGCCCTTGGGTAAGGCATTCCAGTGCTTCTAAAAGATAATAGAAATTCAGCAGAAATATGGGTCGTATGCTTTGGTCCTGTTATCAGTGTGTAGTTGATGGTGACAGAGGGTTCAAAACTAGCCAAGACAGACTGAGCATCTGCATCTGCATCTGCTCTTCTCAGACATCAGTGAAGGAATGGAAGCACTAAGAGAAATAAAGCGGTGATGGTAAAGAACGTAAGTGGGTGGTGACGCAGGCAGCTGGTGGAGAGGTAGGCATTGAGAGAGAAAGGCAGGAGAAACAGTGGCAGGAAATAAATGGAGGAAGGTGCAGCCAGGTAAAGACAGGGGCTCCCATCCCTGGCAGGCTCTGCAGAGCCACATGAAGAGTACAGAGCAGTAATGAGACATGGTGCTGAAATTAGGACCGGCAACGGTCAAGTCCAGACTGTGCCATTCTGACCTACCCCCTCTGCTTTGTCCCCATCCACCACTATTGCTCTCTCCATACAGAACTCTCAGAAGCCTGGCAGTGGCTAAGGGCAAAAGATCTAGATGGCTTATTGCCCAAGAAATAGGCTAAAATAGTAGACAGCTAAGGACTTCCACTGTGTGGAGGCTCCAGAGGAAGGCCTCCCTAGTAACGGCATTTGCAAGATGTGTGGGTTGAAGCTCCCAGGCCACTACTCAGTAGAGAAGCTTGTTTCCGAAACACATTTCCCTCCTCAATAGTAGAGACATGGCAGCCCAGCAATTAAGAATAATCAACTCTTCATGCAGGTGTGAGGACCTGAGTTTGAATCCTCAGAACCTGTGTAGAGGCAGAGTAGTGTGCATCTCTATTCCCAGTGCTTCTGTGGAAAAGAGGAGGTGGAGACAGGAGACTCCCTGGAAGCCCAGGAGCCAGCTAGCCTTTGTTATAGAAGCCAGTAACAAAGAGGCCCTGTCCCAAGCAAGGTCGAGGTGAGGCCCAACATCAAGGTTGTCGTGCCTTGTCATGTGCACACCCACACACAAACATGCACACACACAAAACAATAGATCCATTCTCCTTTCTTAAATATGAATGGACAGCAAAAGATCATAAAAACCCTTTAAGCATAAAAGTTTAAACCCTCGTTAACAAACAAATTAAAAAATTCAAAACCTCTGTGAGCACAGCTGAGGAGCCAGAAATGAACTTATGACATATATTCAGAGATCAAAAATGTTGTTGTGGCCATTAATTAAGGCAAAATGTCTTAGACAGACCAATCCAGAACACATAAGGAGGACTAAAATTTTGGTCTTTGAAAAAATAGACCAAGTAGAAGTAAATTTGGGCCAAAATCTCCAAAAACATAGGACAAACACATAGGTAGTAAATACAAAAAAGAAGACAAATGTGCAAAGCCTAGAGCCTGACCAAGAGGGGTCTCTCAAGAAGAAGGCAGCCAGGCATAGCAGGGCATGGTGTAACCCCAGCGCTCAGAAGGAGCCTCGGGAAGATCGTTGCAAATTTGAGGCTAGCCTGGTCTGTGCAGCCAGTTCCAAGATACAAAGGACTGTATAACAAAACCTGATGCCAAAAGAGGGCAGGGGGCAGAAAAGGGAAAGAGAAACTTAAGGAGAAAATTCTACCAAATAAATTAGAAGAGAAACAAAAATTGTGATGAAGAGGTCCTGCTCAGTACACGGTACGAAAAGGAAAAAACAAAACAAAACAAAACAAGAGGCAGGTTGGTGGTACAGCATGATGTAAAGCTTATCATTATGAAACTGAAACACAGTGGTTAGCTTGGCATCGGACTTCTACCTACAACCCGGATAAAAAGACAGGCTAGAGCAATGTCTCTAAACACTGAAGCAAAAAGTGTTTTCAGCTTCTGACTCAGTCTAATAAACCAAGTGTCCAAGGGTGCCAAGGACACTTTTAGACACCTAATCACACACGTGGCTCCCAAGTAACACAATGTGACTACGGTGAGATGAGGGATTAGACGGGGAAGGAAGGCCAAGATGTGGAGGGTGTGCAGAACTGCATCTGTATAGAGAGCCCTGCAAAGGAAGGGCCGCTGGAGGCAGGACTCCCTGAGATCCTGGGTCTCAGGCTGCAGATCTCTAGGGGGAAAAGAAATCTGCCTATTGGACAGTATGTTTTGGAGGATGGGCATGTTTGAGGATTTGTGAAGGGCCATCACTTTGGACATGTATGAAACAGAAAAACCAAGATCAAAGTGCAAATGGAAATTGTGATTGTAAAATATGAAGCAGGTAGAATGATTTTATCATTGATAGAATATGAGCAAAAGGAAGCTGTCGGACTTTGATGCTAAATAGATGTCATTTGAAAAGGAAAGAAGGAGATGGAGCTCAAAACACTTTTTGGCCAGTGTGTATAATGTGATTTGCTGCCTCGTAGCTTTGATAACCAACCAATGGATAGATAACATGCTAAAAATGTTGCCATGGCGGCAGGCTGTAAACATATACCATCTGATAATCGTAATCAGAAAAATTACCTACCACAAGGCCAGGGTGGAAGAGCGGGAGAAGGTGGTAGGTGTTGATCCAGCTATGGGAGGCGCAAGCTCTCTTCTCTACTTAGTGACGTCCATTTGTCAGGGGTTCTGCAGCTCAGTTTGCCCTTGGTCACCACTGCGTGTTACGTGGAAACACTGGCCGTGGCCCTCTGGGAACTGGTTGCAGAGCATCAGCTAGCATTCAGAGCGTTGCCATTTTACAGGACAGCAAGAACACTAAAGCTCATGAGGTGAGAAAAGTGGGGTGACCTATAGAAAAACTGGAAAATCGCTTTATTTGATTGAATTTTAATGTTAAGTCATCTTCTCTTGTGAATGATTTAGAAAATAGTGGCTAAATAAAAGTAAGTTTAGACTACAGAAATAAAACCAGAAGTCCTTGCCAAGGGGAGGCTGGGGAGAGCCAGAGCTTTCAGCAGAAGCTTTTCTAATCTTTGATTAATGATGGATTTATGTACAAATTGCACAAGTTAAATTCCTCCAGAGCATTTAAGCTACACTTCACTTAGAAATTTAAACCAGCTCTCTTGTATGTAACATAAAACTTACTAATATAGTCAAAGTCATCTAAACTTTACTAGTTAAATATTGTTGAATTTGTTTTGAATTTCAAAGAATAAGCACTCAAATAAAAAGATGTATAAGTCTATTTTTATTTCCTACATTTTTTATAAGTCTAATTAAAACACAAATATAGAGCCACGAGATGGCTCAGCAGATATGGGCACTTACTGCCAAATCTGTTGGTCTGAGTTGAACCCCTGGAACCCATATGGTAAAAGGAGAGAACTGACTTCCAAACATTGTCCTCTGACTTCCACATGCACACACACACACACACACACACACACACAGGTAGTCCATGGAATAAATAAGTAAAGGCAATTTTTTTTTTTTGTCTTTTTGAGACAGGGTCTTCCTGTAGCCCCAGCTGTCCTGGAACTCACTATGTAGACCAGGCTGGCCTCGAACTCAAAAAGATCCACCTGCCTCTGCCTCCCAAGTGCTGGGATTAAAGGCGTGAGCCACCACATTTTTAACTGACAAATATAGTATATCAAATTTGAGGGGGCATTTCATCTTCTTAAAAAATCAAACTATCAACTTCACCAAACAAGATATTTTCTCCTGACATTTAAACATAGCTACCTAGTTGAGGTGCTCTAAGAATTTCAACTAAAGTTACAAACCAATGTTATTTTCTTTAATTTGCTAGAATTTTAGAAAATGTATCAAAAATATAAATCCAGTAAAGCACTTATAGCACTTACAGCAGTTAGGAGTCATAGCGTTAAACCTTGTCTTAATAGTATAAACATTTTGGCTTAGTTACAGTTACTTTGTATACATTTTGGAGTACCAACCTCCCTAACTGAAGGAAAGATAAGTAAACTTTCAAGATACCCAGCCCTGGGACCAGTCCTAGAAAACTGAATGTCCTTCTCTGGGGACATCATTCTGGTCCAGCTGACCGTCCCAGCATGGGCACTGAAAAGACTGGAACATTATGGTACATCACTAATCCCTGGACTTTGTTCCAGGTTCACCTATGCCTAATTCTTACTGTCTCCTCTCTCTACTTTTAATATTTGGTTTGAGTGGAGAGAATTTTACACCTACCCACTCCTCAGGTACTTTGCAGGCTCCACTCTCTGATTCTTTTTTTTTTCTTTTAATTTGTTATTTTAATTTTATGTGTATGAGTGTTTTGCCTGCATGTACGTAAGTGCACCCCTCGTGTGCCATGCTTCACAGAGGCCAGAAGAGGGTGTCAGATTCCCAGAACTGGAGTTACAGATGGTTGTTAGCCACCATGTGGGTACTGGGAATTGAACTTAGGTCCTGAGGAAGAACAGCAAGTGTTCTTAACCTCCAAGCCATCTCTCCAGCTCCTGCTCTCTGATTCCTAATAAATAAAGACACCCGTGTCCCCACCTTTTTTGCAATGATTTTTATGTTATTTTCTAGTCTTATATGTAAATTATCACAAGCTCAATTATTAGGGGTAATTAGTACAACATAAGGAAGGAGAATTATAGGGTGTGAAGATGTTTTGGAAAGTGTTTGGCAACTGTAAACTGGTTCACTTGTGGTTGCTCTTTTGTTTTAATAATTTAGACTGCCAACCTTAATACTTCTAGAACCTTGAAATAAAAATTTCAAAGTATTTCTCTAATATGAAAGAGGCATCTGCTGGGAAGTTTCACAGAAATTATCCTGTCTTGTTGCACATGTGCACTGATTGGGAGGGGCACTAGAGGTGTACAAGTGTCACTGAAGATTTTTCTCTCCCCAAGATGTAATATTCCAGATGAGAAAATTGATGAAAAAATTTCCTAGCTACTCAATACAGAAATAATACACATGAAGTGCTCTGGGTTTGAAGGGAGCCACATACATAATCTACAGCACTGAGCACGGACTATGGGGCTGGCACTACTTGGCTTACTTTAGCCATGTTTTATGAGAATGATGAGGAAATTGAGGCAGAGACTGATTAAATAACTTGTTCAGGGTTTCCCAGAGAGTAAGTGATGGGGCTGTGATTTAAACATAGGCAGTCTGGCCATAAGAACTGAGCAGCACAGACGGCCTGGAAAAGTGGGGGAAGGTTTCGAGGAGAAAGCCACAGAGCAGAGATGCAGACCATGCTAACATTTTTGGATAGTAGAGTAAAAATTCAAGCAATCAAAGGAGAGAACTGGAAGGATCATATCTGCATTTTTCCAAGTTCCAGTTCCATGGTGGATAGGTTGAAGGGTGGGGGGTGTACTAGGGAGGTGTTGGCCCATGGGGGAGTACTGAGGCCATCAAGACAAAGCTGTAGCCAGCAATCCACGTGACAGGTGATGGAGAGGTGGGACCTGGACTGGGGGCTGACAGGTGTGGCAGATGTGCCAAAGTTTTTTGCTAAGCTAACATTTCTAACTGAAAAATGACATGCTGAGAATTTGCAGAGAATATTTTCTGCCAAGAATATTCTCAGCCATGGGACAGCAGTCATAACTGTATTTCCAGAGAACTGTAGTCTTCACAGACACAGTATAGGATGCATATACCACAGAGTTGATGAAAGAATTGGCTTTCTGCTTATAACTCATTTTGGGAATTAAACCACACTAACAACAATACTTGGATATTTCCAAAAATTAATATCGCCAGGCACAATGATTGTACAAGGTATCATAGACTAGAGAGTGATCAGAATTTTTAATTAGATTATTCTAAGATGTGGATTGGTACTTGAACTGGAGAAGGATCCAGAAAGCCTGTTGTGGTCACTCTGTTGGGACAACATTACTGGCCCATCCTTCTGAAGGCCTCAGACATTCAGTTCTTCCATGGAAAATGCAGTCCAGAGAACTGGGTATCTTATTGTAATGATGCAAGTTCTGGAAACCAGTAGTTCACACCAGTGTAAAGGGAAACTGGGAACTTCTGCCAGTGAGAGTCACTCGGGTGTACACTGCTCTACCTGTCCTCTCCTTAGAAGGAACACTATGACGAAGAAGACCTCTTTGCTTTTAAGTCCTTTTTAAACATTGATACTTCAATCAGAACATGGATCTGACTTGTTTTAGGTGATAATTCAAGTACAAAGTCACCTTAGTAGTTTCTGGGTTGGATCTGTTAACAATTTTAAACTTTTATAGTTGGTGTTTTATACTCTGATAAATTAGATTGGCCATATATAGTACTGCCTGAGTTTGGATATTAAAATTAAAATTATTTTGTATTGCAAAACAGGCTTCCACTGGGAAAGTTTCCCAGTAATTGTTTCCTCCTGTGTGTAGGCACTGATTCATTAAGTCAAGGATGGTCAACCCTGACTTTAAGCTGGTGGGAATGGAGTTAAAAACATCTTAGCTATGACTTCTTTTCCACCCAAAAAGCAAATAAAAATTATAGCCAAGTGAACTAAACATATCATCAGGCATAAAATCCCTTTTTGTCATAATAATTTTAAAAATTTATTCACCAAGAGAGTAGAGCACAGCAGTAACATAATTTAATATTTTTATTTGGTTTTTACCCAGAGATACTGTGCATAGTTTGCTTTGATTCACAGAGCCATGACTTTTAGCGATCATTTATCATGAAGTCAATATATGTGTATCAGGTTTGTATAAAATAAAATATACCGAAACAATTAGATGTTCATAGGAAAAGAATAGAAAATAGGTTCTCCCCTATCAAGAACATTTGTTAAAAATCAGTAGTAGAGCCCCTTAGGGCATGGTGGCGCACCCCTTTAATCCCAGCACTCTGGAGACAGAGACAGGTGAATCTCTGTGAGATGGAGGGCAGCCTGGTCTACATAGTGAATCTGAGGCCAGCTGGGGCTACATGGAAATCCTGTCTCAAGAAACAAAAATGAACAAACAAATAAACAAAAATCAACAGTAGGCCCACCCCTAACTGAGGAGCTTTGGGCAGTTGGCGTCTCAGGAGGAGACAGTCAGTTTTCTTTCAGGAGGATAGCCCCAACCCAGGAGCACATGCACAGCACAGGTTGAAGCCCATGGGTTATTAAAAAAAAAAAAGAGGACACAAAATTGGGGGGCAGTAGGGAGAGGAAGTGGATCCAGGAAAACTTAGAGGGACGAGTTGAGGGTGAATGTGATCAAAATACTTCTATGAAATTCTCAAAGAATTAATAAATATATACCTTTTAAAATATTTTAGTATTTTTATTTTATGTGTATGTGTGTATTGCCTGCATGTATGGGAGTGCACCCATGTCGTGCAATGCCTGTAGAGGTCAGAAGAGGGAGTCAGATCCCTTAGAACTGGAGTAACGGACAGTTTGTTAGCTGCCATATGGGTGCTGGGATTCAAACCCGGGTCTTCTGCAAGAACAGTGTTCTTAACCACTGAACCATCTCTCCAGCCCATAAATATATTTTTTAAAATCAGTAAGAGTTGAACAAATAAGACATTAAAACAGAAGTGAGCCTTCCTTATTTTATCTAATCTAAAATATTAGATTATAATAAATATTAGATTTATCTAAATATAATCTAAAATATTAGATTATAATAAATATTTTTGTGCAGCCAATTGTTTTGTTCAATTAATATACACTAATAAAAATGCCTGAAAAGTATCTGCATTTACCCAGAAAAAAAATTGGTTCATTTTCCTACCCTGAGGCTCAGCTTCTCTCTGTTCCCATTTGTTCTTGTTTGGTGGGTAATGTGATCACTAGGTTGTACTGTGAGTCCAGTGATCCCGTCTAAGTATATCTCTCACTGTTTAATCCAAGATTGGAAATGCTTACTGAACAGAAAGTTTCATCATCTAAATGAGCCCTGCGTGGGCGACGATGCAGCCTTCACCATCTCCTCCAAGAGGTTATTTCTTATCTATCAGTGAGATTCCTTCACCACAGGAGCCTGGATCCTTTGACAGTCCATTCATCATCAACAGGCAGAAGAATGGGTGTAGGTGTGCCATCCTGGGGCAATTGAGTCAGTTTCACTGGAGAAAATTAGATTGTCCATATTTAACACTGATGGAGCAAGGTTAGAACACTCATTACACCTTCAAGGATGATTTCTGATACTTATGAACTTAACTAACACAGAAAATGCTACCATTTCATATATATAATCTCCATTCTTCGAAATTTTATATTCCCAAATTTGTTTCTTTATTTGACTGAGATTAGGAAAGATGCAGTAGTGCTAAAATTGGAAAATTATAGGCCTACCACTTTTGACTCTTAAACACCCCCAGGGTAGTATTTTTATACCTGTTTCCAGTAGCACAACTTCTCCAGCCTTTAGGATGGAGTGGTTCCACAGAGGGGATCAGATCCAAAGACATACACACAGGTCATGAAGCCTTTTGCTCCCTGCTCAGCCTGATTGACACTGGGAAAGCCGTTGGGGGCAGATATGAAGGGTCTGCCGTCCTCCTGACAGCAAAGTAGAACAGCAAAGTGAGTTAAGTAGGATCGTATGGTGTTGCGTCTTCTGAGAAGCTTCAAGGGCTCTTAGGGTGGCTCCCTAAAGGTAGACCTGGAGAAGGCGAGGCAAGTTAAAGAGACCCCTTGAGAAGGCTTTCTAAAGAGAGGGGTAGGGGAGAAGACACCCGGAAACTGGGGGAGGCCAAGCAGAGGTGCCGCAGGAAACCAAGGTAGGGTTGTCACCTGGAGCCCACGCAGATCATACTTCAGAGAACTCCTGGCAGACTGAGTAAGAAAGACCGTCATTCCCATATGCCACGGTGAAAGGCTACCTTCAGAAGAATGAACTTCCTGGGATTTGGGGCTTTCAGGTTCCAGCAGCCTGAGGGCAGCCCTCTGTGAGCAGGTAGGCAGCACGTTGGAAACTGCAGAACAAACATGGCGAAGGGATGATAAGAGTGAGCTCTGGGCATCCACCGAGGGACCCAGGAAACCATTTATACACTGGTTTTATGGTATTTGAAGCCCACACATAACCCTGTGAGACAGAAATACGAGTTCCAGACCTGCCTGTGCTACAGGGTGAGTTCAAAGTCAGCCTGTGTCGTTTAGAGAGACTCTGCCTCAAAAAGTTTGACAGTAGCACAATGATAGAGTGCATTCAAGACATACAAGAAGCCCTTGGATCAGCCTTCCAATTCCACACCAACAAACAAACAATAAAACGAAGCTAACTCCCCTTCTCCCTTCCCCTCATTTCCTGAAGACACTAAGTTGTTGAACACTGGAAAAACTCTGAAATAAGCTTACCTGGTGAATTTCCCTTTGCAAGGCTCATTCTCATGTTCTGGTTATTAAGGGATGTCTAGGGAAGAGTGTGAGATGCTCCCGAGATGTGGGGGTAGAACTTCAACACATTTCTAAGCTTCTAAACTACATTTTCTTATCAGAATTTTACAGAGAGCCTGAATTCTAACAATGTTTTCTGTTCCATGACAGAAAACACACCATCTCAGGACACTTGCAAGTGTGGGACAGAGGCTCGATACTATCATGTGTTTGTATCTCTATACATTATGTTTATGTGTTTTGCAAAGTCTGTATTCTAAAGCTTCAGAGCATTTCATTGAATACCTTTCTTCATGTTTTACCCAGTTTTTGATGCAAATTTCTCCATGTTGTGGATTCATAGAAACGGAGAGCTGTCAGTCACATGGCCCATCTTCAGATGTATTTTATGAACTGAATTTGTTGTGTGCTAAACATTGTGCAATGACTTAAAAGGGAAACATATTCATCTGTTGATTTTTACTTTTGATTTTTTATCATTTTGGTAATTAAGTTAAATGTTTCTTTTTTTTAATTTTAGTTACACATGGAATATTCCAGTTAAATGGAGTGAAAATGTTTCAAATACCGTAATCTACAATAGGTCAGAAAAGGAAGGTAAATGTTATTAACTGATTTATTTCTTCTTTGAATTGATGTACTTCATTAAACTAATATAAACATAATGAAGCAACAATGGGGCCAAAACTTGTAAATTTCAGCAACAGTGATTATTTATCAATGATTCTAAATTTCATCTACAATGAGAATTTTTCTACCTTGAGATATTCTTTGTAATGACTTAGTATGACTGACATAGTAATAAATAGCTGTATCCAAAGGAGTTTTACTTAATCATTGAAAAGTAAAAGTATGTTTCCTTCCTTCCTTCTTTCCTTGTCTCCTGCCTCCCTCCCTCCCCCTCCCCCTTCCTCCCTCCAGCTCTCCCTCCCTCACCCCTCCCTCCTTCCTTGCCTCACCCTGTCCCTCTGCTCATCCTTCCCTTCTCCCTCATTCTTTTCTTTATATCAAATAAGTAAGCCATTGAATTTTTTAAAACATTATATGAATGGCCTGGGTTTTTAATGTTCTCTTTTAATTAGAACAATCAACTTGAAATATATTTCTTGTTCTCTCTCCATTGATTTTTCTTTCTTTCCTTATTTGAAAGGACACAGAGTTATATAAAAACAAGGAGCTATTGTTGCAGGGTTCCAAATTACTGATTATATTATAGGAGGTTTAGAATCAATGCTAGGAGAATCTAGCTTTTTGTACTTTTACCATTGCATCTGTTTTGTGTTCCAAAACATTTTTTATCAAGACAGACTGGACTGTTCACCCTGCCCCATGGAGCTGTGGTCTCAGTACCACATTGGCCCTAGTTTTTCCTCAGGGCTTCTTCAGCTCAAAGCAAACTACTTTGCTTCCCTCTGCAAAATACCAAAAATAGTATGTCTGATTTCACCTAGCAAGCTAATTTTTACCATTTCTAGTATTTTTTAATTTACCCACTCATTTTGGCTATGAAAAATTGAATCCAGGGCATATAAAATACATTCTGTGCCATTGAGCTGCATTTCCAGTCCCACAATTCATCCATTTAAAGTGAATCACTTGCGGATGTAGCACAGCTTATGGAGTACTTGCCTAGCATGCATGAAACCCTGGGGCCAATCCCCAGCAACACATATAGCCAGGGATGTTGGTAAACACCTGTAGTCTCAGCACTCAGGAGACAGAAGCAGGAAGACCACGTGTTCAGTTCGGTGTTATCATCAGACACATTGTGAGTTCAAGGGCAGTTTGCAATTGTGGACTGCTTAGACTACATGAAACTCTGCCTCAAAAAAAAAAAAAAAAGATTTAAGTCAGGACATGATGGTGCATGATTTTAATGCCAGCACTTGGGAAGTAGAGGGAAGCAGATCTCTATGAATTCAAGGTCAGGCAGGTCTGCATATTAAGTTCCAGCCAGGGATACACAGTAAGACCCTATCTCTAAATAAGTAAATAATAAATAAATATAAATTTAACTGCATCATCCAATTCTTCTTATAGGTATATGAAATGATCACTGGTCACTTCAGAAAGGGGCTCATAGTTTTAGCTGTTACCCTGCTCTCCTGCAGACCCGGCCCCTAAGCAACCACGAACCCTATGTACTTGCCTATCTGTGAACGAACCCTACGCCACTGTAGACTTGCCTGTCTTGAGAAATGATATAATGGTGTTTTATGACTGTCTCTTTACAACTAACTTGAGTTTTCCAAGGTCTACCCATGTTGTGGCATGTGCCAGTCCTTCATTCCTTTCCATAAAGGAAATACATTTACACGGACGTATCAGCTTTACTTCACCTACCCATCAGGTGGCAGGTATTTGAATCACGTTAGCCCTGCACAGTGCTGCTCTAATCACTTGTGTGCTGGTTCTTCTGTGTCCCTAGGGATTTTTTCATCGTTGCTGTTTCTTTTTTTCTCTTTAACTTTTGTTATAAACTTTCCTGTGACTTTTAGTTCTACTGTCAACTCTCCCATATTTGCTAGTATGAAGTAGATTCATCTTCAAGTCTGTTCCTGACGGAGACTGCAATCGCAGGAAAACTTCCCCTTCATCATTTACGCTAATCGTTATGACACTGTGGCCAGCAATTCTGAATCCTTCCAGAAATCCGAGGTCAATACCTTTACATCTTAGTCTTAGTCATGTTTACGCTGTGTTGGGGCTCTAGGCTGTATGTCTTATGGTCTGTCTTCTGACCATTTTCCTACTTAGAAGCACATTTGCCAAAAGAAAATGAAGACATTCAAAAGAGCGTGTGAGAGAGACGTGAAATGTTACGCAGCGCTGGTACAAGACTCAATAGGAAGCTTAGGATTTCAGTGAAATCACTTATCATCCCCACTGGTCACCATGTTTAATGAGAGAAGACTTATCAAGGCAGCAGCTCGATTTGCCGTTTACAGATTTAAACACAAGAATAACCCACTCACCCTAACCCAGTTTATTTGGCATTTTCATGGAACAAGGATTCCATACAAGTGAATCTTCTAGATAATAAAAGTTTACTCAAGTAGTTCATAAAAAGTTTCAAGAGTTCAGAATAAGTATTCTTCCAATATTTGTTATGTGATTGCTAGATAGAAATTTGTAATACTCAATTTAGTCCTTGATCTGTTCTTTCAAGTAAGTTGTTTTGTTTTTGAAACAGAGTCTCATATAGGCCAGACTGGCCACTAGCTCATTGTGTGGTCAGGACGACCTTGAATTTCTCATCCTCCTTTTCTCATCCTCCTAATCCCTTCTGTGTGGGATTACAGGCCTGAGCTACCACATCTGGTTTATGCAGTGCTAGGGATCGAATCCATGGCTTTTTGTATGTGAGGCGGGTACTCTACTAATGAGCTACAGTCCCACCCAGCTCAAGCAAATATTTGTTAAAAGTAATCTGGGGGCAGTCATGGGACTACAAGAAGGGGATGATGTACAGCCCTTCCTTTCACATAGCTTGCCCTCTAGGGTGGGTCAGCAGGCAGACCATTATCAACAAGGCTGTCAGACAAGGCAGGTGATGAAGGCAGATGGCAAAGGGCACCCACAGGACAAGCGCCAGCCAGATTTGGGGGTCCAGAAAAGGTTGCTATGGAAAGAAACATGTAGATCCAAAATCTCAGAGGCTAACTAGAGTTTGAAGGTGACAGGATTGGCCAAGTAGAGAGGAGACTTGTGCCACAGACGGGGAGTGTAGTGTGACAGCCAGTGAGAAAGGAGGGCACTCTTCTGCTCCTTTGTAACCCTCAGACAGCACATTACCGTGGTGTTTGTGTAACTATTGACTTATCTGTCTCTCTTACCTATGGAATATTCTTTGGGGAAATAAGCATATTTCTGGTTGTTGTTGCTATTCCATTTCTCTAGCAGGTACTAACTATTAGTAGGCATTCATTTAATTATTTATTAATAATAAATAATAATAATTCATTTAATTATTTATTAAATGAATGAGTGACTGAATAAATGAATGGAGTAAGAGGCTCAGATATGCAACAGAACTATGATGACGAACCTACCTTTGATCTGAAACTTCAGAATCATGACTGGTCATTTGTCCAGAAACAAACTAGACAGCTCTTCCTACTTCAAAGTGCCTGCTCCATTTTTAGGCCATGCTGTAAGTTCCTGTTTCCTGTTGGAGGACATCTTCAGCTCAGAGCAGATGACGAACATGTCCTGAGTATGCTGGATGGGCAACCAGCTCATGTTGCCTGCCCTGTCTTCCTGCTCTTGGCCCTTTGATGATTCATCAGTTAGGAATGTCCCAGGCAATAATGGGACTTCCGGGACTTTTTTATTTACACATCTATTGTACATGATATTTTATGTAGTTGAAAAAATTAAGTATGCCATTTCTGACATACTTTTCCTTATATAGTTTCTGCTTCCAGTCTTACCAGTCTTTGTTGCTGGTATTATTACTTAGTACTCTAATCAAAGCCATTATTCTTAAAGCATTATTTGCTTTCTTTTCTTTGAAGATACACAGTGAATGTCATATTTCTTGCCCCTCATCTAGCATCAACAAGTGCGAGGCACACTGTAAGAGTCTGGGAGGTCCTTGCTTGCTGGAGGCTTATCTGCCACAGACCGCCCTTCCTAGAAGTTGCTTGTGTGTGTGTGTTTCAGGTATCTCTTCTTTAACGACAATGCGTCTACATCGAGTAGTAGCCCACCTTTCTGCTTCAGTTTGCTGATTTCCACCTTTAGAAAGACTGAAGGCTATCATAGGACAGTCTTGCTAAAAATATGGTATTTCCAAATAGGCATTACTAAGGGTATGGGGTCTGGGAGAGGGTCTAAGAACTAGGACAGGTATAGACTTGAGGATGATGGTTCTTACAACTTTTATGTTATGACTGTGAGTAGTTTATGTGACCAGATTTCTAGTATCATAGAAATAGAATTTACTAAAAAAATTTAAAATAGGTATCTTTACCTATTTACTACCAAACTAATGCTGAGTACATATTTTTATGAGTCTTCAAGAAAGGAAGGACTTTCTCTGTGTTTTCAAGCTAAGTCTTGTGCAGTGTACAAACTCAGTTATGCTGGTTTAGAATCCCAGTTTGTCAGCTCAGCCATGGTCAACCAAGTCTTAGAAGATTTATTCACCTAAACCAAACATACAAGAGATTGGGCAAGAATGCTAATTTGTTGATTCATACAGATAAAGTATACTGTCCTAATGAACCAGCATACTTAGGTCCACTAATTAGGTATCTCTTCCCAGGAAGAAAGTTTGCTTAGTAAGGATTAGGGGAGTGTTAAGAGAGATCAATCATTTTAAAGATGTCATCACACTGTGAAACTGATACAATGCATTGTCCAGGTGAGTCTAATTATTATGCTTAGACACTATCAATAGCGGCTTGATGCAATAAAAATTCCTTGTTTCTTCAGTAGTCAAAAGGAGGTGTTCCTGCCTCATAACAGCCACCAAATAGCAGCTCAAAATTCTATCTTCTTCCTTTGTGTATTTCCAATACAACACAGATGTTGGGATCATTTAATGGGTCTTTTGCAAATGGGCGCAGACAGGAAGATAATAGAGGGACCAGGCCTAGCAGTGCATCACTTCTGTTATTCCTGCACACATTTCCTGTCCAGCTCTCAATCATATGCTGCTACTTAGCTATGAGAGAGGTTCATATGTGTAGTCTAGCTCTTACCCAGCAAAAGGGAACAGTAAAGTGGATTTACTGTTGGAAACAAAGAACAGACCTCTGCTCTCTACAGTGCCAGACCTGCCAAAAGGTGAGGAGCACATGCTGCCTCAGGCGAGCACCTGCCCCACCAGGGCAGACTGGAGACACACCAGCAGATCTTTGCTACCAGCTCTCCTCTGCACTTACTCTTCCTTCCAAATCAGCACAAAGGAAAGTCCTTCCTCATGATAAGCAGGTTGCATTTGCCCAGACTCCTGTTCCTTGAGTATTGCATATTAGCTGTAGCAGGAGATGAGGCTGAGGAAGGAGGATTGGATATTCAAGGTGAGCCTGGAGGATATAGCAAGATCCAGGTCAGCCTGGGCCATATAACATAACCTTGCTCAAAAGCAAAAGGACAAACAAAACCAACTTTCTCTGCAAGTAGATTCTCTGTGTCACTTGCTAAGGTCTGGGAGAAACTCTATAATTACAATTCATACAAATATGAATTACGTCTTCCTTCCCTGCCTGCCTCCCTCCCTCCCTCCCTCCTTCCTTCCCTCCCTCCCTCTCTTTCTTTCTCTCATCAGGATCTCACTAGGTTACCCAGACTAGCCTTCAACTCATGATCCTCCTGCCCTAGTCCCTAAAGTAGCTGGGATTACATGTCCATTCTCAAACCCAACTCAAAATTTTGAAAACATTACCACAAATCCACTTTACAGTAGACCAGGCTAAATTTCAGAGAGCAAATGTTTTAATTTTTAAAAATTTTATTATGTATGTGGTGTATGCCTCTGTGTGTGTGCACTCGGGTGCTCACCCACGTGTATGAGTGTGGAGGCCTCACTGAACCAGGAGCTCACTTTTTCCGCTAGGCTGCTGAGCTGTCGAGCCCTGGGGATCCCTGTTCTTACCCTCCCAGTGCGGGGTTACAGGCGTGTGGTAAGAGCATTATGTGGCCATTGCACCTACATTTCCAAATCTGTAAAAATGAAGTTCCAGAGTGTTAACAATATAATTTCAAGTGACAAAGGATTACTAATCACTGAGTAAGCAGGACGTTTTGTGTTTGCTTGGGTGTGGAGAGGGAAGACACCCACACATATACAAAGAGAAAAGCAGAGTGAGCCCTCATAGATAGTTTCTATTTCTTCTGTATCTTTCTCTGTTCTGCTTTGTTTGAGACAGTTCTCCTTCTGTAGCTCAGATCAGCCTTGACCTTGCAGCAGTCCCACCTCACCTCCGGGTGCTGGAGTTTCAGTACGGACATGGACCACCATGGCAGACATTCTTTATGCTTATTTTCTTAGTGTTCCGTATAGAACATGTGTTTGTGTTGCAATCATAAAAAAAAATCAAAACTGAATGTACACCCCTAGAATCCAGTGTGCATCTGTGGGTCTCCAGGAGCAGGCGTCCTTGGTTGAGTCCTGCTTGCTTCACTATGTAGTGGGACAGCCTGACAGTTTGCTGCTGACAACTGTTCTGAAAGCAACATGAACTTGGAAAGTTCTTAACTACTGACTTCCTGTATCTCAGCTTCCTCATCTATAAAGTGAGAAAAATCACAGCAACTTTAGACAGGCTTAACTGGGGACATATAAAGCACGGTAAATTACTGCAGTATTTAGATGGACTGCCAGGAACCGCTCCATGTTATTTATATTTGCGTCTCTATTTATAGAACTGTCAGCCTATCTTCTTTCATAATAATGGGGATAGCTACCATCTGTTGGTCACATAATACCTAACGATGCAATACCCCCCCCCCAACCTACGTTATCTTAATTTAATCTTCACAATAGCTCAGAGAGGAATTTTTCTCCCGTTTTCCTCCTGGTGAGCTGGGACACAGAGAGGTCAAGTGATTTGGCCAAGGTTACACAGCTAGTCTGTCTCACAGAAAGATTTTATCCCAGGTCTGTCAAACATAGCAGTTTCTGTTCTTTCTTAGTAACATATGGCTTTACGCTTAGCAAGAGACTCTCCTGACACAAACATTCAAAGTGTGAGGTTGCCAAAAGATTAGCTTCTTTTCAACAACTTCTCCATGGGCGAATGACAAAAGAGATTAATACTACGAGAGTGAGGTAATGGTTTATAATTTGTCAAGTACCTGCTCTGAAGTTCCTGAGGAAACTTACTGTCTCGTTGAAGAACTTACTCATCTATTATGAAAAACTACCGTGTCCTGGATATTTTCCAGACCTTGCAAATACTTCCCAAATTTAAATCATCTTTCCTCCCAAATTCACCTTCCTCCACTCGCTAACGGCAACATCATTACTCAACCCATGGTGGAGTCTTTACCCTTCCTCTGGCCCGAGGGAGGGTCCCACTGCTTTTACCTGGAGCATGTCTCTTGAACATCTCAGCTCCCTTCTGTTCGCTGGTCCTTTCTTGCCCTGGATGATTACAGTGGATTCTAAATTAGTCTTCTTGCTTCTAGAATCTCATTCCAAACATCTCGCATGTCGCTGTTAAAATTATCTTTCTAGAAAGCAGACGTGAGCATGTTATTTCCCTGAACAGCCTTTGCTGTGTTCTCATCCTTCAGAAGAAGAACTCTTGCACGTGGCTCGCGGCTCTCAAGCTGCAGCCCACGGCTGTCACACTGCAGCCCCGCCTTCGTTAGCGGCCTCCACTGCCCTTTTTTAGTATCACTCCCTACATTGTCACTCTATTCAACTCCTTGAAGTCTCTCAGGTATTCTAAGTTCCCACACTGCTATTTAAATTGCATATTGTCCATGCAAACAAAATGTATATTAATGAAAGAGTGCCGGGGTAACCCTGGCAAATATTTGCCATGTTGGAGCACAGCCATTATTTTTAGTGTGTATGCTTTGCCTAAAATATGTCTCTGTTCCTTCAGTATTGAGCCTCTAAAAGCTCCATACCAGAACCTATGAATATGCTGGGTGACACTTTAGGAAGAACGTTAACTTGGTAACTCTGTTGACACAAAAACACATTAATATAGTCTAAACCGAAAAGAGGAAATAGATGATCTTACAACAAATAAAATAAAATGAGAAGAGCAAATTAAATGGGTTGTGAAATAAAGTTGCATGTGGATTCCAAGTCTATTGTGGGCCTTCTTGACATTTTAAAAGCACCACTGATCCCCACATTATTATTCTGCTTAGCCATATTTATTTCCACTGGTTGCAATGCCAATTTATTTTGTGCTGGGGACTCAACCCAGAGCCTTGTTCCTGCTAGGCAAGTACCCTACCATGGACCCACATCTCCAGCCCTTTTAAAAATTTTATTTGAGGGTCTCGGTAAGTTGCTCAGTCTGGCGTTGAACTCATTGTAGTCCAGGCAGGCCTTTAACTTGCAATCCTCCTGCCTCAGCCTCCTGAGCAGCTGGAATTACAAGCCTATACCAGCAGGCCCGACATCAGTAATGATTTTGATAAAGTATTCTTCTAAATGTTTGCATCTTAGCCCCTCCCCATGCTGGCCCCATGCAGATGCTTTATGCCATTAATCCATTACAATCAGGAATATGCCGATTCCCCCCAGAAGGCTTGGACCTCTCATCTTTAGGCACTGTTTTCTTTCATTGAAGGATGACCAGCATAGTTATTGCAGGCATTTGTGAGCATCTGTCAGCGAGGAATGCAAGTCACAAATGGCCGGATGCTTGTTGACATTACTTACTCTTTTTCAGCTTACTTACTCTAGTGACATTCTAAAGTTAGGCAGATAAATAAGAATTAGGCTTTGGGGCTTTGAATCCAAATCAAACTTGACTCCTTGAGCTAATATTTCTTTTCTTTTTTCTTTTTGCCCTCTGGGTCTAATTTCTTTGTGTTTACACTGTATGCAAACATGTTTCTCATTAGTGTTTATTTACTACCACAGGAATCACTTTGAACTCTAATCCTAGTGGAAATGCTTTTCTCAAAATAAACCCAGATCATATTGGGTTTTATCGTGTAAATTATGAAGCATCAACTTGGGGCTGGATAGCTGAAAATCTCTCTTCAAATCACAAGGTAAGAGACACCAGTGGTTATGAATTGTTTCATTTTTGCCCTAAGAACAGCATCTGACTGATAATAACTTTTTTCCACGCCCCTTGCCTTGACAGTCATGCTTTTGCCTCTTTTCCTTCCTCTTCCCAGGACTTTTCCTCTGCTGACCGTGCAAGTTTTATCGATGATGCATTTGCCTTGGCAAGGTATGTTTTGAAATGAGATTAGGTCACTTAAAATACCGGGAGTTTCCCCATAGATCTGTTAGAAATGAATTACAACTACTTTAAAGTATCAAATGTTTTTAATTGAAAACATACAAAGTTTGAGCATTATTGGTTTTTGTTAGTAGTGTTTGTTTGTTTTTGGCAAATGTTTTAAAAATGTATGTGATCCTCATAGCCAAAATGTTGATATTGGCTGTTCACATACATAGAGAAAGCCCACCTGTCCTATTGGCATGAAGCATCATTGGTTCTATATCATCTGGCCCCTTGAGTGATATCCTAAAATGATCAAAAGTGTACCTTGGGCTAGGGAAGATAGCTCAGTGGGTAAAGGTGCTTTCTGCTAAGCCCGAGGCCCTGATTTCAGTCCCCAGGACCCACATAGTGGGAATAAAGAACCAATTCCCACCCTTGTCCTCTGACCTCCACATTGGCACAGCAGCCTGCCCTTCTTCCCCTGAAGAAAAAGAAAGAAAATATAAACAAAAAATTTTGAACATGTACCTCCATAATTTGGTTTCATACTGATATTGTGTTTCAGTTTGGTGAGCCCAAGCTCACTCTGAGATGTGTTTGGTTAGAATTGTCTGTTTTTGTTCAGGTCACTGGGACAAGAAGAGTGAGCCATGGATTTAAGATACTGTTTAGAAAATTTGCCCTTTTTGTGACCTGATAGTGACCTGAATTTAGAAACAGATAATCAACCTGGATTGAGGGACAGAGTGACTACAGTACCTCCTGACTTTTTTTCAGGCTGCCTAATACTATTAATTCAACAAGTATTTATGACGTTTCTGACACTTTGCAAGGAGCAGCAATGGGGCTGATTTGATTTCTATGGCTTTCAGTAGCTTTGTTCTAAATAGGAGAATAGATACCACTTCCTTAGGAAGCCTCTCATGGGCTCTGTCATGATCTGGGTTGGGTGTCACTCATCTTTTCCCATGATATTATATTATCATTGCTCATTAGTTGTCTGTCCTGCCCATCCCTTCATGAGAATAGACATCCAAATCTTAACTGCATGTGGCTGTTAAATTATGCCATAAATACTAGCCAAGGGAATTGATGGCTGGTTGGATAGCATCACAGGCAGAAGCATTTTATATGCATTTCTAGACAATAACTAGAAGTCAGAAACCTCTACATTTTCAAAGGAAGAATTCTAGAATTTTGGATCTGATTAAAATCCTGGTTTCTTATAAATTTGAGTAAGTCTCTGAGCCTCTGTCTGGATCAGTTTCCTTGTGGAAAAATGGAGATGACCCTTGTAAGAAATAAATGAGAAAATAGACTTATAGAACCTGAATAATTATCTGACTTGTAACAAGTGCTGGACACTTGTAACGTGACCAGGATGCACCTACCATTGATTATCAACAGCAAAGACACATTTTCAAAAGCTCTTCTGAGTTTGTAACTTAGGTTCCCTTTGTAGATAATATGGAGTATAATTCTCATTATTGAATTTTCAGATTTAGGTTTCCAGATATGTCATCGATTATTTAGCTTGTTCCAAACACGAGAAAAGTACTGAGAACAGGTATCTTGGCCTTAGGTCTCTCATGGCTTGTCTGGGTTGGCTGTTCCTCTTATGTACCTCATCTTTTCCCACAGTAGTATACTACAATACTATAGTAATATGCTACAGTATATTGCTGTATCCTGTTGGTTCACTTCATATGCATTCGGTGTCTCCTATGTGCCGGGCACTGTGTATGCCCTGAAAAATTAAGTGGAGAAAGAGGATGGTCATTATATAGAGTAATACATAACAGAAGCATTTAGTTTTTTTCTGAATTTTTTCCAGATGCACCACACATCATAACCTTTCCAAAGACCCAGCTTTTCCTATTGCTTTGTTAACATTGCAGTTCCTCCCCTCTCTTCTCTGTGCATTTTAATATACAAAATTCTATTATTTAAGGGCTCCAAGTTGGACTCTCAGTCTGTAAGTGGAAGTTGTTTGAATAAAGAAAATTCTCAACCAAAGGTCTGGCCTTCAAAACTCCTGTTAGCCTGCGGATTCAATAGATGGAGCTTGAGACCCAAGGCTGGGTAGTTCTGTCTTGGGTAGAGTTCCCTGGAAGCAAACACTGAAGTGCAGGCTTGTCAGGGGGGTTGGAGGCCTTAGCGGGGGATGTAGGTTGAAGTGCATGGAATAGGAAGAAAAGCTATGTAAGACGTGCTGTCGCCTGTACAGCCCTTGACAGATTCCCCCAGGAAGCTTTAAATTCTACCAAGGATTGGGTCCAACTTGAGGAAAACTGGTTGGCCTTTTGTATTTCTGAATCAGGCAATCCATTGACAAGGTTGAGTACTGTGTAACCTCTGGAACAAGATGGTTGTATTTGGCCAAGGGCTATCTTCTGGAGAAGGCAGCCTCCAGGACCAAATGAGGGGCCTGGGTCAGGGCCCACAGATGCCTTTGTTCCAAAACCATTTCTTAACATGTGGACTCCACAGCATTGCGAGGAAATTGAAAAAGAAATGCAAATCCTTGGGGCCCTACCAAGAAACTCAATCAGGAATTCTGAGAGTAGTTTCTAGAATGGTATTACCAAACTTTGCAAGTATTGTTGCTGTGTGCTCAACTTTGAGAAATCTAGTTCTAAATGATACCCTCCACTTCTCATGTCCCATTCAGTGAGTAGGAGCCATTTTGGGCAAAGAAAACCTCCCAGCTTAATACTTAAAACATTATCCACTTAATGTCAGCCAGAAATAATTGGTTCCTTATCAAGCATTTTGCCCCTGGCATACAAAAGTAAAACTATTATCTAACTCTGAGGTGTAGTAGAGCAAGTGTGTACCAGAGTAGTATGCTGATTTTTCAAGAGCTCAAATCCATGGTATTGAATAAGGGTGTTTGGATCCCTGAGTTTCCTTCTTCCTCTTATGCTAATTAGTTAGTCTGTATGCTGGGCTCTGGTAAGTATAGCCCAGGGTCTGACTCTTCACTTTCTGGACTTGTGCAACTCACTTGGTTTCTGATTGTGGTGGTTTGAACGTGTGTCTGCCATAGACTGCAAGTAAGTGTTCTAAGAAAATATTAATTGTACATATCGAGCTGGGAAAGTAGAGAATCATCAAAGACAGAAAACTCAATTAGGTTATAAATGTCAACTCTTAATAAAATACCCAATTTCTCCAAATTATACTTATATTAAAGGAACCTGAATATTCCCAAATTGAAGTTTTCCTAATAATTTTGAAGAGAAAGCAGTTCTCTTTAATTGGGCGTGGTGGTGCATGCCTTTAGTCCCAGTGCTTGGGAGGCAGGGGCAGGTGGATCCCTGTGAGATCCAGGCCAGCCCCGTCTATATAGGAAGTTCCAGGCCAGCTGGGGATACAGAGAGACCCTGTCCCAAAAAGACAAAGAAATTAATCCTTAAGCTTTCAAAATGCATTTTCATACAAATTAAGTTTATTCTTGGATAATTTTATACATGTATATAATACATTCTGTATACTCCCCCCCATCTCCCTTCCACCCCATCACACCCCTCCCCTCTTCCCCACAAATCTCTTTCCCACATTCATGTCCTTTCGTTTTGTGACCCACTGAGTTTAACCAGAGCTGTCTGTGTGACCATGGGTTTGGAACTGTCCTTTAGATCCTGGTGGCCTCACCATTGGGTACACAAATGAAGACAATGGCTCCTTCTCTCTTAGAATCCATCAATGTCCAGTTTGGCAAGGAGGGTGTATTACTTTTCTGTTGCTGTGATAAAACATCCTGACCAAGGCAACTTCTAGGAAGGAAGAGTTTATTTGACTGACAGCTCCAGGGGAATGAGAGTCCATCATGGCAGGGAGGTGTAGCAGGAGGCCACTGCAGCAGAAACTGAGGGCTCACATTTCCCACGAGAGCAACCAGAAGTGGGACTAGGCTATGAACTCTCACAGCCCACCCCCGGTGATGAGCATGGCCACACCTAAAGGGTCCAAAGCCCTCCCCAAACAGGCCACCAACTGACCAAGTGTTTGAAAACATGAGGCTGTGGGGAACACTCATTTAAACCACCATACAGAGGTAGGGCCCCATGGGGCCTTCCCCCATCCTTGAGTGATTGTTGACAGGACTAATCTTGTACAAGTCAAGTGCAGTAGGTAACAAGAGCTGCTTGGAGTTGGTAGTTGCCATGGCAATGTCATGCCCAGAAAATGGCATTTCCCAACCTTTCCCCAAATCTTCCAACTCTTACATTCTTTCTGCCCCCTCTCTGCAGTGCTCATTGAGTCTTGGAGTGAGTGATATAAATATCTCATCTGGGGCTGAACTCTCAGTGGTCACTCTGAGCACCTCCAGCAGACATGAGTCTGAGGCCTTCACCGCTGTTCATGGAGTAGAGAGGTTTTTCTGGATAAGACTGAAAGTAGAGCTGGGCTGGTGGCATGAGCCTTTAATCATAGCACTTCCAGCACTTGGGAGGCACAGGTAGGCTGATCTCTGTGAGTTGGAGACCAGCCTGGTCTCCATAGCAAATTTCAAGACCCTGCCTCAAGAAAAGCACTAGAGTAGCATTTGTCTATGGGTATAAACATTTAAAATGCAAATTTTTATTTATGTGTATATCTGTGTATGTGTATGTATACCATATGTTTTGGGTTGCTTATGGAGGCCAAAAGATGGTGTTAGAGCCCCTAGAGCTGGAGTTACAGGCAGTTGTGAACTGCCCAACAGCTAGGAACTGAACACAGGTCCTTGAAAAAAGTAGTAATCATTCTTAACCACTGTATCATCTCTCCATCCACCAAAACGCGATTTGTTCTTTTTGTGTTTTGAGACAAGGTCTCCTTGTAGCCCCAACTGGCCTGAAACTCACTATGGAGACCCAACTGGCCTCAATCTCTTAGAAATCCACCTGCCTCTGCCTCCTAAATGCTGGAATTTAAGGCATGTGCCACCATACATGTCTCAAAATGTAGTTTTTTTTCTATCTAAGATTCAAATGCTATATTAAAGTTAGAAGAACCACAGGTCCCCAAGAATGTAAATTCATTCAAAGGAAAGTTGTATTCTTTAAACTTTGAAATGTCAACAGTGTATTCAAATTTTCTGAAAAAGAAAAATCCATTTTATTTAAGAAGATTCCTGGGAAATGTATAAGAAAGGAGATGTTACAGAGAAAAATGTATGCTAATTTTAACATTTAAGTACTTAGGATTCGTAAACACTGCTGTTCATGTTTCTTTGTCATAGGCAAGTATAAAAATAATTTCAAAAATACATTTGTAATTGTGCATTTGTATATATAATCAGCTTGTCATTCTAAATTTTAAAAAATTTTCATCCTTATTAATCATGTATAAAAGTGGATTATTTGCTACAGTGATTTTTCAAATGTACATCTCAATCTTCTGCTTTCCTCATTCCTACTAAATGTATAAGTATATCTTTTTTCAGTGCTCTAATATATTAATATTAGAGAAAATGTCTAATATATCTAAGCTAAACTTTTTTAAACAAATTTTTGAGACATGGTCTTCCTATAGCCCCAACAGGCCTGGAACTTGCTAAGTAGACCAGACTGGCCTCGATCTCACAGAGCTTCTCTTGCTTCTGCTTCCTGAGTACTGGAATTAAAGGTGTATGCCATCATGGCCTGCTCTTTGAAATATTTTTATAATGTTTTTGTGGTACTGGGGATTGAACTCAGGGCCTCGTGGGTACTAAGCAAGTGTCCACCACCAAGCCTTTGTCCTCACTCCTGGACAAAACATTGTGGTTGTGTCTCAAAAATAAGAGTGATTTCTTGTTTGGCAGACGAGTTCTCATTAACATGAAATGTTAGGGTCATCATACTAGCACTTTCGATTGAAAATTTGGTTTTTAATTAATTGTCCTATTTGTTTTCTTTATCAGAGCTCAACTTTTGGATTATAAGACAGCTCTGAACTTGACCATGTATCTTAAGTCAGAAGAGGGATTTTTGCCATGGCAGAGAGTCATTTCAGCTTTAACCTACATCATTAGCATGTTTGAAGATGATAAAGAGCTGTACCCCAGGATGGAGGTGATCTTAATTCTCTGAGTATATCATGAATGCTTAGGGGACCCAGCTTCATAGGGAAGACGCTCTTGGGGAGCACGTCTTACCACCCAGGGAAAGAGAAAGTGCAATTATTTGACTAATCAAAGCAGACATGCTGCCTCTTCTTTTTAACTTGAAAAGCATCATATTTACACTTCAGCATATTTTGTAAAGTTGTGGATTTTAGTATTAAAATAAATATATTTTATTTAAATATATTTTATACCATTTTAAACTATAACCTAAAACCTATTTTAAATGGTTTCGTCTATTAAAATTAACTTATTCTTACCAAATATAACATTATATTTTCTTCTACTTTGGGATTTTGTTACATGCTTGTCATTCTATTTTTTAAATCATTTTATTTTATTTGAAGTATATGTTAAGTGCACTCGTGTTGTGCAATACCCAGGGCGGCAAGAAGAGGGCCTCGGATCCCCTGGAACTGGAGTTAGGGACAGGTGTTAGCTGCCATGTGGGTGCTAGAAACTGAACCTAGGTCCTCTGCAAGAGCAACCGTGGTCCTAACCACTGAGCCATCCCTCCAGCCCCAAGTTCGTTATTCTAAACACCTTTGCTTTACAATTTCTCTAGTGCTTTGTCAGGACACTTGGAATTTTAAGCAAATTCTGGATTTGGATTTCTAGCTCTTTTACCTACTAAATAAAAGACATTGGAAAACTTGATGTTTGTGAATGTACGTTTTCTCTGTCTAATAGGAACATTTTACTTGCCTGCCTGTGCTGATGGGATAGTGAGGATCTAATAATACACAAATTCTTTGTGAACCCTGAATGTCTATTATTTTTAAAAGCCATCAAAGCTTAAACAAGCATCTTAGTGTTGGAAGTGCGGAGGTGTTTTTCTACTTTATTACATAAGACTTAATAGACATTAAAAAGGGTACTCAGTTTTGTTTCCTGTCACTGTGATACAATTCAACTTAAGGGAGAAAGGGTTTACTTGGCTCACATCCCAGGTCGTAGCCCATCTGGGCAGGGAAGTCAGGGCGGCCAGCTTGGAGCAGCTGTTCCACATTACTCCAAAACTGAGCACTGACAGACAGCAATGAGTAATGCATGTTTCTACTGCTCAACTGGCTTCCTCTTAAACAATCCTGAATCCCTTGCCACAGAATGGTGCCACGTCCAGTGAGGTGGGTCTTCCCACCTCAGTTAACATCGTCAAGATAAACACCCATGGCCCAACCAGATCTAGACAGTCCCTCATTGAGACTCTCTTCCCAGGTGACTCTAAGTTCTGTCAAGTCGACAATTAAAACTGACCTTCACAGAGGTCTTACCCAAGGTTCTACAAGACATTCCAGGAGGATCTGGAATGGTTAATATGTTTAGGACTGAAGCAGAATTCAGCGTGATGAAAAGTGAGTGCACTCCTTTTCTAAGAGAAAGTCCGAAGTTCTCTTAAGTAGCAGGGCAACGACTGCAACAGGGGCTACAGGTCATAGTGAATGAGAGGCTGCTGCTAAGTAGCAAATTACTATTCATGGTATACTGTGCTTCTGTTTCAGGAATACTTCCAGGGTCAAGTGAAGCCCATTGCAGATTCTCTGGGATGGCAGGATGCTGGAAACCACATCACAAAGTATTTCTCACCTTTTAAAAGCTAATATTCAGTTAACATTTTGAGTGTTCTGAGACACTGAAAAGTGTTCAACGCCTGCCTCTGTGCTTGTTTGTTTTTTTAAGGTTACTCCGTGCCTCTGTATTAGAGTTTGCATGCAAGATGGGAGACAGAGATGCCCTGGGCAATGCTTCCAAGTTATTTGAGGACTGGCTAACTGGGACTGAAAGGTGACTCTTCATGTCGTTTCCATGTCTGGAAGACTTTAAGCTGAGAAATGAGTTGATGCATGAGCTGTCTGAAACTTCGCTTCTTCTTGCAGCGTTCCAGTGAATCTCCGGCTTCTGGTATACCGGTATGGGATGAAGAATGCCGGCAATGAGGCCGCTTGGAACCACACTCTAGAGCAGTACCAGAAAACCTCCCTTGCACAGGAGAAAGAAAAGCTGCTCTATGGATTAGCTTCAGTGAACGACATCAGTCTTTTGTCAAGGTAGATTGTTATTTATTTATGGTGCTGAATTTGAACCCACAACTTTCTTAACTGAAACTATACCCCTAGACCAAGGTAGGATTGTATTTCACTTCTGTGACCATTGCTTTATAGTTTATATATCATAGTCTTTTAAAGGAGCTGATTAATAAAACATCATTTATTTCCCCAAAAGATCCATTAAAACACTCTTTTCTATAAAAAACTGAAATATCCATGCAAGCTTAGCTTAAAGGGTGGAGGAATGTAAGCCTAGAGACCAGGTTCCTTCTTTTTCTGATCTGTCATGCTGGGAATCTCATGGCTGCCAGATCTTCACCCTGTGTTACACACAAAGACATCCAAAAGAAAGAGAAAGAACAAGAGGCAAAGAGTTTCTCCTCACCAAGTTCTATGTTCTATGCTTCCAGGACAATTCTCTACTTCTCTTCATTACCAAAATTGAGTCACGCTTGATTACTTTGAACCTACCATTTGATCACTTGCTGACTAGGATGAGCTTGAATTCCTTTGGCTAACTTAGCCCAATTATGCTACTCCAGGCCTGTGATAGGTCTGCCTTCCTCAGGACCAAGGATTTGACCCAAGGATAAAACTAGGTTCTGTCAGCAAAGAAACTGGAACGCCCACCACAGTGTGTATGCACACACAGACACATGGGCTCACACATATACTCATATTCTGTGCCCCCAAACACAATTTAAATTCCACTTATGAATCTTTTTCTACTCTATACCTTTGTACCAAATTAACAAGCTCATTCATTCATTCATTCATTCATTCCATTCTGGTGTCTGGGTTACCTACTCCTTTCATTTAATTAACACTTATGGTGTCTCTTGTACATATCGGTACATGTAGGGATGATAATAAATGAAACACAGCATCTCTGTTTCAGAAACATAGCTCCATAGGGGAATCAGAATACAAACAGTAAATTATAAAAAAATGCCGACTTGGAAAGAATTTTCAGAATGAAATTCTTTCTTTTTCTAGACAATTAATACACCGTCACCATCTTCCCTCAGGGCTACACATCAGCCTTCCTGCCCTCGGATGTGGGACAGTCCAGCAGGATTGTCATCTTAGCATTGCATAGAACCCATTCCTATTTACACTTACACGTGCTTGCTTGCTTCCTGTCTTCTTTCCTTCTAAAGACATGGCCCTATAGATCAACTTGGTTTTGAACTTGTGATACTCCTCCTGCCTTTGCTTCCCAAGGGCTTGAATTATAGTCATGTACACCAGGCCTGCCATGTCTTTATTTTTTATGTGCCATTGAAAGTAAATTTGGATTAAATAAAGAGCGTGATTATCTTGACACCTGTCAAAGCATCTCACCTGGTGGCATGGTGTTGATTGTATTTATTGAGAAAATCAACAGGTACTTTAGACGCTTTAGCAAAATTCTTGCGGATGAGGATATTGAGGAAAAATTGCACAAAACATTCGGGGCCCCATCTTATCAGTGCAGTCTGTAGGATGTCTTAGTGTTTCAAATTAGTCCCCTGAGATATTCCTTATGAAAAACAAGTTGTTGCACCTTGCACCTCCTATCATAGAAAGTATTATTTCAGTGGTCTTGGTAACCTATTTTTAAATTTGAAGAAATAGAGCTCATGTTTGAGCATGTTATGTCAAGTGTCTACAAAGTCTTAAAGACCATGAATGATGGCCATAATGAAAGAAGGTTCAGCAGCAAGTCGTGGTTGTAGTGAGCACTCCCTGGAATTCACTTCTTGTGTGAAACATGATAAAAGTGTTGTATGTCACAGGAGCGTGGGTTTATCTGTACAGCTGGGAATGCTAAAAAATGGTGGCACCTCCATTTCCTGTCTCATTGCTCCCAAGAGCCAGTACAATGAGGCACAACTGATGTTGGCTGTTGTCTGCTGATGTGATTTTTTTTTTTTATCATTTTGAGACAGGGTCTCCCTGTAGCTCCAGCTGTCCTGGAACTCACTATGTAGACCAGGCTGCCCTTGAACTCACAGAGATCCACCTGCCTCTGCCTCCCGAGTGCTGGGATTAAAGGTGTGCACCACCACGCCCAGCTTGCTGATGTGATTTTTAAATCGGTGTTAAACCTGAATTCTAGTCTCAGGTTAAATGTCCATCCTGTAGGACTCCTTCCCTTTCAGATGTTCTTCTTATGCAAGGGAGATATAAGTCCTTCTGCAGTGATGGAGAAAGAGAAAGCAATGCCTTGTTTCATGCTGGTCTTGTCTTAAGGTGTTTACCTATTTTGGTCGTGGGCCAGAAGTCCGTTGGGTTTTAGGTGATCGTAGTTTACTGCTGGAACACTGCCTGTCTTCTGGAGAGGAGAGTTGTGATCCTGATCATTTGCTTCTGTTCATGAAGTACCTGTGCTGTTCAGCACTTCCGTTTTTCCAGAGGCGCTTTCAGCATCCCTCCATCCTTTTTTCTAGCCTGAAGAAATATCTAGGGATGCTGAGCATGGTGTGGCATGCCTCTAGTCTAACGCTCAGGAGGCAGAGGCAGACAAAGGTCCATGAGATGGAGGCTAAGTTGGTCTACATAGCAAGTTCTAAACCAGCTGGAGCTACAGGGAGACCCTGTCTCACAAAACAAAAACCAAACAAACCAAAAAGAAATGTCTAGGGTCCCCCTTCACAGTCAACAAGTCAAAGGAACTGGGATATTACCTGATACCCAGTAATATACCCAAGGAAACAGCTAAAATGGGGAAAGATTAATTTCGGCTGCATTCCTGGTCCTCTGTGTTCAGGCCTGTAAAAAAGCAGAAGCATCATGGTAGAAGGGTATAGAGAAAGAAGGGTGCTCACCACAAAGCAGCTAGGAAGCAGAGAGAAACAGGGAAGATGAAGCCAGAGACAATACACATCCCTCAGAGTGCCCCACTTCCTTCAGCTAGGCCTGGCCTCGTCACAGCCTATTGAGCTATGAATTTACTACAATGGTCAACCCATTAGTGAAAACAGCACCCTCATCACTCTCAATAACATCACCTACTGGGGACCTTCAGCATAGAAACCTTCAACATAGAAACCTCTGAGGCTGTTTTGGAGCTAGACCTTGCTAAATATAAAATGGTCTAAGTATGCCAGATCTTTATGTATTAATGAAAATATGAGAAACCTGTAAATTTATTTTCTTTTTGATAAAGGCTATCTCTCCAAACTGTCTCACAACCCAAGCTGAGTAATGATCTCTTTGATGAAATTACTAACTCTTATCTTCCTAACATTATGAATGATCCCAAGTCAGAGTATAGGAAACCATAAAACAAGGAGAATATGAAAATATGTCTGATTATCAACAATAGATACCTATTTTTGAAGTGCCTTTTTCATAGTGAATAAAATATTTACTGACTTTACTTGGAAACGGTTTTAATAACCATAAGTACCTGTAAAGGCCTTGAGCTAGCAATATGACTCTAACACCAGAACATAAAATTTAGTAAAAATCTATCCATTTATCTTCAAATTATTTGTATTATGTTATAATTATAGTTAACACCTAACAATTAGCAAGGTTTCTCTCTTACAATCTAGGAAAGAGCAAATAAGTTTTTATTCTATGGCAAATAAGGCCTAAAGTCTTTTAACATACTGTCTTTTTTTTTTAAGTCAGTAGGATAATAGACAAGTGTTTGTATTCAATAAGTACTATTTCATTGTAGTTCAGTAAACACTATTTAGTAATCATTTGGGACTGGAGACATGGCTCAGTGGCTAAGGATGCATACTGCTCGTTCAAAGGACCTGAGTTCAGTTCCCAGCATCCACATCAGATGATCACAACCACATGTAAATCCAGCTCCAGGGGATCTAACACCCTCTTCTGGACTCTATGGATATCTGTACTCATAGATGCACATATCCACATATAGATGTACACATGTCCACAAAATTCAAGATAAAATAAACATTTAAATGCAAGTAATCATTACAATTCAGTTTTTGGAGGTGGGGAAGACAATAGGGCATATGTGACATAAGGTGAAAAGGGGGCTGGAAGTCGGGGTTGCCCATGGGAGGGAGGTTGGGGGGAGGATGACGCTTTGTGTGAAAATACCATAATGATATCTAATGCTATGTATGCTAACTTAAAAAATCAATGTAAAATAAAAATCATAAATAGAAGAGATTCAGTTTTTATTGTTTTTAGACTTTCCAACATATTTAAAAAATTTTCATTTCCAATAATATTTTTATGTTTACTAATATGCTAATTTTAAGCTTTAATTTAAATTTTTATATTTTACTGGTCATCAAAATTATAGATCTTTTTGAAAATTATCTTTTGTACTTAGCATATAAGCTAGGGGGCTTCTATGAGGATTTTCCATACGTCTTTCATTTTTTCACGTTTTAGTTTCATTGAGATTTGGGATCATTCTTTAAAACAGTTAAATACATTAGTTTTTAAAACTGTCTTTCATCTTCTGCCCTGCTTGATTCACTTAGTTTATACCTCAGAAACTGAGTTATTGGAATGAATGCTCTGTTGCATTGGGGTTCAGGTTACTGTAAATATTCAAAGTTTGTGGCTGGACAGATGGCTCAGCAGTTAAGAGCACTGACTGCTCTTGCAGAGGACCTGGGTTCGATTCCCAGCACCCACATGGTGGCTACAAACTGTCCTTAACTCCAGTTCCAGGGGAATCTGAAGCCCTCTTCTGACCTCAACAGCACTGCATGACACGGGTGCACTCACATACATGCAGGCAATACACTCATACACACAAAATAAAAATAATAAAGAAAATATTTTTTTAAATATTCAAAGTTCATTCTGGAATGTTTTTCTGTTTGGCTTCTCTTAGGTATTTGGAAATGCTTAAGAACCCAAACATCATTAAATCTCAGGATGTGTTCACAGTCATCCGATACATCTCATATAACAGCTATGGGAAGACTATGGCCTGGAACTGGATCCAGCTCAACTGGGAATATCTGGTCAGCAGGTAGGATGACCAGCTAATGCCCTGTTGTTCTCTTTGCTTGACACTAGTTACAGGTGCCTTCTGTTTCTCCCTGGTGTTCTTCCTCTAACACCTGTCCCATATCTGATATGGCCTGTTACCAGAGTAAAAGTCCCATATCTGAAATGGCCTGTTACCAGAGTAAAAGTCCCATATCTGAAATGGCCTGTTATGAGGGTAAAAGTCCCGTATCTGAAATGGCCTGTTAGTTACCAGAGTAAAAGGTAACGGCCAGAGTAAAAGTCCCATATCTGAAATGGCCTGTTACCAGGGTAAAAGTCCCATATCTGAAATGGCCTGTTATGAGGGTAAAAGTCCCGTATCTGAAATGGCCTGTTAGTTACCAGAGTAAAAGGTAACGGCATTTTCCTTCAAGATCTGTTCATTTTGGCTCAATTCTTTTTCTGGAAATTATTCTTTCCAACTGATCTGGAGAGATCTGGAGAGATAACTATATTGCATTGTTTTTGTTGTTGTTGTTGTTGAAGTAACAAATTAATGTAATTCAGTCCATTGTACTAATATGTAACAAAATGCCAGACAGATGTTTAGTTCTCATTTAATATTTGCTAAAAACTAAATGAGAATTCCTGGCCCCTGTGTCTCTTTGAGCTCAACTGGGCATCTGGTATTATCTTCCTTGAGACCAGATAATAAATTTTAAGCATTCTGAATACTTCTTAAAAGGAAACTAAATTTCCTAGGCAATAGCAATTTAAAGGGACTGGAGCTTAGAGTGTGTGTGTGTGTGTGTGTGTTTGTGTGTGTGTGTGTATGTGTGTGTGTGTGTGTGTGTGTGTAGGCTCTTGTGTGCTACCGCACACACATGTGGAAGTCAAAGGACAGCTTGCTGGAGTCAGTTTTCTCCTTCTACTCCATAGGTCCCAGGATTGAACTCACCATCAGGCTAGGAAGCAAACACCTTTCCAACTGAGCAATCTCACCTACCTTCAGTGGTTCATTTTTAAAAAATTTTAATTGAATTTTTGTGTATTTCATATAGAACATCTTAATCATCCTTATACCCCCTTCCCCACTGGTACCTCCCATAGCTCCCCACCCCACTGGAAAACATATATTCTCTCATTTGTGTTAAGGCCTATCCTGTCAAGTTAGTGTCCCCAGATATCCCTCAGTGCAAGTTCATCCACTGAGGTCTAAGCAGCCTATCTAGTCTTCCTCCTTTTAAGAAGATCAGCTCTTCCTCACCCAGCAGTTATCAGCTTCCAATAATTCTAAAATTGGGGCTTGTTGCCCATTCCCCCAGTTCTGTGCTGGGGTTTTGTCTGCTTGAGTTGGCATAGGTCCTGTGCATGCTGACACCATTGCTGTAGGTTCATATGAGCAAGGTCCCAGGCACTTGTAGGACTCTATTTCCATATGGTCATATACCTCCTCCCTGGCTCTGACAATCTTTCTACCCCCTCTTCTGCAATGGTCCCTGAGACCTGGGTGGATGGAGTTTAATATGAGTCCTTCCCTAAGGACCAACACTCTGCAGGCTCTTACTCTCCATACTTTGGCCATTTGTGACCTTTTGTGTTCCTGGTCCTCTGCTGCATGAGGGAGCTTCATTAATGAGAACTGAGAAAGTCCTTAGTGTCCTCTTTTCCCCTTGTTCTATGTCCCGTGAGCCTTATGTGTAGAGGTTGCACTGTAGATGTGCTACTTAGGCTTGGGCAACTATTTCTTTAGCCCCATGAGGAGGAAATATTGCTGTTCTTGTTTCTGATCCTCTAAATGTAATGCTCAATTTCCATTGAAAAGACATTTCTTTGACAAACTATATAATAACATGTAGACTAAACATATGTCCCCAATAAATGTGTATGCATTAGTGAAAGTCATTCTATCTGTGATCCTTGCACTGGGCAGTTGCTCTGTTATCCATCCTAATCTTTCCTGTTTACAGCAATGGCTAATAACCATCTTCTGAGAATCACAAGTCCTCTTTTTTCTGAAGTTCACCAGTGCCAGTCTGTCCACATTCCCTTTCCTTCAGAGATCCACACTGTACCCCAAGCTTTCAACTAAGATATTCTACGTTGTTTTTGCCTCTTTGTGATAGATTTTCGCCTCTTTTGTTCTTGTGACTAATGAGGGTAGCTGTTCATCCATTTCTCAAGAGTGGTCTGAGAACATGCTCTTGTGAGCTCATCTTCATTGTTCATCTGTTTGTAATTGTTTCAATGAAATGCTGGGTTTAGACTGAATAAATCGACTTAGTAAGAACATGTTATCTTCACATAAGACTTCATCTCATGCAAGGTGACACTTTCCATTTTGAAAGATGTATGCCTAACGACACACATTGTGTTTATGTTAGTTCAAAGACTATAAATTTATGTATGCTATGAGAAACATATATAGATGAGGCACAGTGTTTACTTTTAAATTACTGTGAAAAGATATGTAGAAAAAAGTGGGTTTTACCTTGTCTTGAATGCCATAAACATCTGGTTTTAAAATGAACATATTAGATCTGATAAGTTGAACCATTTTTAAGGAAAATAAGTTGATTAACCATTTCCAGAGCTAGTTCCAAAACTCTCACCCAAGGCTTTTAATATTTCTTCATAGATCTAACTTTCATGAGGTATTATTGCAGATGGCCCCAAACATAGTTATATAATAACCACATGTCTATTACACAAAAAGCAATATTAATTATGTTTGGTTTGAATAAATAGAATTGCCTCTGAAGAATTGTATAAGACAAGCTAAGTAGAAGAGAACTGAGCTTTATTCAAATATTTCCAAACTCTCGAATGTTTTCCAAATTTCAGGATGAGTAATTTTTGTTGCCTCTATTTCTGAACAATCTATTGTTCCCCTCAAATAATCTGCTTTCCTATGACATTTTTCTCATACGGTCTTTATGTAGCTGATCACTGCCCCACTGCTGTGCTTGCCAGTTTGAGCCTTAGTCACAAACCTCCAAGATACTAGGGAAATGATGCTTTGCAACTGTGTCGTCTAAACTCTTAGGTGAAACTGTAAAGCTCAGTGAGCGCAGCAGATCAGTAGTGTGGAAGGATAATGTTTGTTTTTAGTTTATGGCTACAGATGAAAAGAATCAGTAATTCTGACATAATGAATGTGCTAAAATATTTAAACATTATTTCAAAATAGTTTAATAAGCACTTATTAAAAGTTGTATGTGCATAAAAATAATTTCTGAATAACATACTACTTATACAAGTATTAAGTCAAAACAAGTGATTTTCTATAACTTTTTCAAACTAATTAAGATATACTTATGCTCCTGTTGTAGCTTTAGCCAGCTTGATAAATAGACAGTGTGTCTCCCCTTAGCTTCTGCACGTGATGTGATAATGGGCCCTTGAAATGAACATTTAGTTCTTGTGCATGTAGTGTTGACACAAGTGGTTGCAATTTTCATTTAATCTATTCATTGTTAGCTCCCCAGTATTTCTCTTTTTTGAGACAGGGTCTCCCTGTAGCCCCAGCTGACCCGGAACTTACTTTGTAGACCAGGCTGGCCTTGGTCTAACAGAGATTTGCCTACCTCTGCTTCCCAAGTGCTGGGATTGAAGGTGTGCACCACCACACCTGGCTTTTCTTTTCACTATGAAGAAAAGAGAGTAATGTTACTGAAATCATAGGTTATTTTTAAATTATTACTTGCACTTACCAGACTTCCTTTGAAACTGTAGAATCTTATTGCAGCAACTAACATATTTTCCTTTTAAAATTCCCCTCTTATTACAGAACTGATATGTGTGTTTTTCAGAAAACAAATAAGATTATTTACACTATTTGTAATGAAATTACTCAGGAACCACTTTTGTTGTCATGTTAGTATCACTCCTCCCACAGGCTCTGGAGCTCATGCGTGCACATACCCTCCCCTGCACATGTACACACACATGTAATTTAAAATAATTAAAATAAAATTTTTTTTTTTAGAAAAAAAGGTTTTCAGAATAGTGATGGAGATGTCTCTAACTGAACAGAGCCAATAAATGAATCTGACAAAGTCACCTGTAGTTTCAAATGATAGGGGTCTTCCTTTTATTCTTTTATGTTGAAGATATTTTAATATACTTAATATATTTAAAGGCTGATGAGAAAGTTCCAGTATGTGGAACAAAAAAACAGATTTTTTTTTAAAAACTAAAGTTTTTAAGAACATGGGATAAACAGTAGTCAAAGCCCAGGTGTTAGGAGGAAAGCAGGGTGTGCAGGAGTGACTGTGTGCTTTTTAGGAAAGGGTAGTTTGTAGAGAACATGAATGAATTGGTCAGGGAGGAGGATGACCAATGTGAGGGCTACCATCAAGATTTAAATCTATGAATTTACAATGAAATGGTATGTGGAAAGGGCAGCGACTTTACTCACGAGAATTCAACCAGCTGTAACAGAGAAGATGGACAGCTGATTTCACTCAAAGCCGAGGTCTCTCTAGACGTGAATTATTAAAATGCAAGGGAGCTTAGAGTTTCCTGAACAAAATGTGATTGAACATGGGAAACCGTCACTTCTCAACTCCATAAATAAATAACTTGAGAGGGAAAGAGGACCTGGCAGTCCAGGAGAAGGAGGAAGGAGGCTCGATGGGCCTGAAATCCAGGCTAAGCTAAGAATGGTTAGAGTGACAGCTGAAACACATGTCACGGAAGGCTTGTAAATGAATAATTTCAGGTGCAGATGACTTAAGACGATCCCCAGTTATCATGGGAATATGATGGCTAAAGCAGACCCTAGAGACTGTCCCTGGAAATCGGTTCTGGAAACTAAGGAGCTAATATATTACACTGATCATGAAATTACCAAGGATGATGGCACAGCTCAGAGTAGAAAGACCAGCAGTCAGGTGTCAGTGTGTACCATATGCAAAAGCAAGCAGAAGGAACAGACGCTCATACAGTGAGTACACAAAAAATGGTCTCAAGTGAGAAGCTTCCTGTCGAGGGAGCACACCACTGAGATTGCGATTGCATTCCTCCGCTAGTGTCCTGTTGACATATTTCTCTCTCTTACCCCTTTGTAAGGATCCTTTATATAACAGAAAAGACTGTTTTCCCTAATTACTTTTGACTTTTGATTTTGTTTACAGAAAGCTCTCTCTTCAGCATTATCACTTAAAAATTTCATATGAAGTAAACTTTATCTGTTTTTACCTTCCATAATTTTTGCTTTTTGTATATAATAATTCTAGAATATAAATTTTCTCCCACTGATGTATGTACAGGTATATTTTCCCACATCCCTTCCCAATATTTTAGTGGTCAAAATTTTATGCATGAGTTTGTGGGGAGTTGCATTGTGATTAGTTGGGTAGAGATTCATGTTTCTATCTCCCCATTTTTAGTATAGTATGTAAGAAAAATTCTAGTTCTTGATTTTTGAGAGAGACTATGTGAAAAGAATAAGGATCAAATCTCGTCTCTAAAATCATCTTGGTGCTTAGGTTTAAGCCAGCCTGCCATGGGTCAGAACCCCTACCACACAAATAACCAGTAAAGCTTTTTGAAAGCAGAATGAATAGATTATATTCAAAGCCCTGTATCTTCTGGGAGCTGCATGTCCAGAATTAGGATGATGGAACTGGAGCTGCTCTGTCTAACAGAAACATACAGAGGCAGGTTAGTGAGATGTGGGTAACTGTCACTCACGTTATGTTTTGAAAGTCCAAGTTCACTGTGGTCCTGTTCCATAAGACCTGGGAAGTTCAAGCCTCTGTGTGGTTGAAATTGAATCAGTGGTATATTCACGGTCCAGATTGGAGGAAGGAGGAGAAAAAGAAAATGGACACACACACACACACACACACACACACACACTCATACCCCAACCCAAGAAGACCAAGATTATTCACGCCAGTCCAGCCCATAGCCCTGAAACCTCATGCAGCCAAGAACAGCTGTGGAAGTGGCACAATGCAAAATCAGAAACTCACTGAAAACATTATGAGACTTTTTTTTCTTTTTTTAGCAATTTTTAACTCAAATGCACAGTGTGACACCTAAACTTTGTAGATGACAAGATTGTATCCAAACATTAAAAGGTTAGACATGCCTAGGGTCCTCCCCATCAGAGCTCATATTGAAACTTGGTTCTCAATGCAAACATTGAGAGATGGTGGGACACTTAGGAGATAATTGGGGTCTGGGGAGATAGCTCAATTGATAGAGGCTTGCCTAATACAAGCCCTAGGTTCAACCCATAACACCTCATAAGTCAGGCATGGTGGTACAAGCCTATAATCCCAAGCACTCAGAGATGGAGGCGGGAGGATCAAAAGTTCAAGATGCCTGGTATGGTGGCAAACTCTTTTGATCCCAGCACTGGGGAAGCAGAGGCAGGTGGATCTCTGGAGTTTGAGGTTAGCCTGGTCTACATAGTGAGTGTCAGGCCAGCCAAAGCTACATAGTGAGACCCGATTTCAAAAAAAAGAAAATTTAAGTCATCTTTAGCTCTATGCAGAGTTCAAGGACACCCTGGGCTACATGAGCCCTTGTCTCAAAAACAAAACAAAACAAATCAAACAAAAAACAATAGCCAGGTATGTTGACACGTGCCTTTAATCACAGGTCAGCCTGGTCTACATAGTGAGTTCCAAGTCAGTTGGGGCTACAGGGAGACCTTGTCTCAAAAAGATGAAAAGAAAAAAAAAAATCTTTAAAAGCTTTGTTTTTATGGGTAATTAGATACGTGTGCCCGACTCTGGTGTAGCTCTCATGAAGGTAGATGGCCTGAGAGTGGCTTGTTATAAAGCAACCTGGCAGCTCCCTGCTCTCTCTCACATGCCTCTTTCATGCACCCGCCTGCTTTACCTTCCGCTTTTCTCTACAAGTTGAAGCAGAGTAAGGCCTTTATCAGAAGCTAAGCATAGGCTAGTGCTGAAGTCTTGGGCTCCCTAGAACCAGAAGTTAAAATAAACCTCTTTTTTACATGTCACCTAGTCGTGGTGCTCCATTACAGAAAAAAAGATTAAGACAGACAAGCAATTTCCCCTTTTTATGTAAAGTCTCAAGTTTGACTTAGCACTGGATTTGTTGGTAAGAACTGGGTTACACATCTACCTACCTATGAGGCAGGCTGAGAGATGTGGTCATTAGCTCTGAGCTCTTGTACCCAGCAGAGGAGAACGTTTGGGCAATACAACAAGCAGTCTGCCATATCTGTGCAAAAAGAAGTGCGGAGTTTATAGAAACTACTCCTGAACATGTTTATACTGTTTTAGAAATGTGTGTGATATGTGTGATGTGTGTGATGTGTGTGTGATGTGTGATGTGTGTGATTGTGTGATATGTGTGTGATATGTGTGTGATGTGTGTGATGTGTGTGTGATGTGTGTGATGTGTGTGATGTGTGTGATGTATGTGATATGTGTGATGTGTGTGTGATGTGTGTGTGTTGGATGTGTGATGTATGTGTGTGTGATGTGTGTGATGTACATGTGTGTGTGCACACGTGTGTGTGTGTGTGCATGCTATGGTGCAACTACAGAGGTCGGAGGACAACTTTTGGGAGTCAGTTCTCCTTCCACCACAGGCTCTGGGGATCAAACCTGGCATCCATCTTGCTCAGCAAGGGCCAGCTTGCCGGACGTACCTGTTTTTTGGCTGTGTTTGACTGTGAAAATTGCCTTTAAAATGCACACATATAGTGTTCACAGCTAGAAAAAGATTTTAAGTTTCAGGTACTTATATTGCTTTTATTCCTCTTAATTTCTGTACAGATACACACTCAATGACAGAAACCTCGGTCGGATTGTTACCATAGCAGAACCCTTCAACACTGAACTGCAACTTTGGCAGGTATGAAAATAAATTCCTTTCTACTTTCTAGGAAAAGAAAAAAAACACAGTTAAACTCTTACAAAGAGAAAAGGTATTTTCTCCAGTCAAGCCCAATAATGCAACAAGAAAGAGATAATTCTTGCATTAAATATATCATACACTATTTTTTAACCTGAAAAATGACCAAGAAACAAATTTAAAAGCCAAGAGTTGTGAGAAGATGGGAGGTTGAGACTGGCTTGCTGAAGTGTGTTCAATGTGTCACCCCTTTCCAGATGACTGCCTGTGACTCAGGGATAAGTTGATCAAGATTTGAGTCCACTCAGAATTGGTAGTTTGGGAATTTCAAAATCAATTTCAAATCTCTGAATTCCCAATAAGGTAAAAAATGTCCATCAATGTTGGGCTAACAGAAAAGTCATGAGGTTTCAGTATCTGTGCATCGGGAATTAAAATGCTTATGTTCTTACCATTCTTATTTTTGAAAACTGCATATCCTACTCTGGTTGAATTTTAGGGTAGGAGAGAGTACAGAAATGTGTTGAAGAGAATCTTTTTTCTTACAAGTCCTTAATAAATGAACTGAAAGTGTATTGAATTCTCTAGACTCCTAGAATGAAAGCTGCACGGAAACCACATGCCATGGGCCAGGCTATCCATGGGACACTGTGGGAAACGCACAGAAAGTAGAGAAATCCACAGTGGGCATGCCAACCTGTGGCATGCGGCTCTCCTTCCCTAAATTGTCAGACCCTCTTGCTATTACACAAGGCAGCTCCTAAGCCAAGGGCAGTGATTGCTCATGGGAGGGCAGGCTCATTCTGAAGACTGCATTGGGAGGTGCAGAGATACTAAGTATCCCCTTAGGAAGAAACAAAACCAGTGTCCAAAATGGTTCTTCTAATTATTCACCTCTCTTTTCTAGATGATGAGCTTTTTTGAAAAATATCCAGATGCGGGAGCTGGAGAAACACCTAGACAACAAGTACTGGAAACAGTCAGGAACAACATTGAGTGGCTGAAGCAAAACAGAGACTCCATAGGTGAATGGTTCCGTAGTTTGCCACAGCGTGGCTGATGTGTTCAAGGGTTGTGATTCTGTGACGGCTGTTTTTCCCTCCAGCCTGTGGTAGTCTGCTTTACAGGCTGCAGAGGGAGCCTTAGAGATTCTGCTTTCGCCAAGGACTGTATTTATGTCTCACAAAGCTTTTAAATGATTCCTCTTTGTTTTCAAAGGAAGACACTAATAGAGTGCTTAATATACTCAGGGATTTCTGTTAAGTGTACTTCACATGAGCTTCTTCACAAACTAAAGAGTTTAATAGTCACATTAATGTCTTTAAATATCATTCTTTGTATCTTAAATCTGTGAAAAGAGAACAATTTGGTCTTAGCTTTACATTTTTAGTACCAAAGAAACACCACTTAATCTTCTCTCTTGATTGATTTTTAAAGTTTAAATACCAGTACTTGTGGGACATATTACCATTTTAATCTTTATTTTATTATTCAGAATTACATAGACCTAATATCATTTTATTCACATGTGCCTTACTGCTTTAAATCCTACCAAAGTAACCTGGGCTTAAGTTTTTCTCAAGGATTGAATGAATGAGCCAAAGAAATGACTGACTGTTGCCTATGCCTTTACAAATCAATAAGAGAATGCTGTATTCCTTAAAGAAATAAATCTAAATTATTACCTTGAAAAATATTGTTTCCCAGTGTCACTTTACCCTTGAGTAAACATAATGGCAGCATTACCCAAACAATTAGCAAGTTACAAGTATGATTCAAGAACCTGGCCTTTGTCACGTGTGGTACTCGCCCATCTTGTTCTGTGCATACGGAGCTCCTTCAAATACACTATGAAATTACAGGCATAGAGTGCTTAGCTGTGCGCTGGGGATTTTATAGGGAAAAGCTGAAGTCATTGGAGAGAAGGCAGTGATTCCATAAAGGAAACAAGAATTAGAGGTCACCTTTGCCCTCACCCAGCTATATGTGTGAAGATGCAGAAACTCGAGGATGTCTCCAGCATGACTCTGCATTTCTGAGGATATGTCTTTTTATAGATAAGGTTTGCCTGTAAATCCTTAGCTCCTAACCCACATAGAATAGCCCTGATAACGTTTATGTATGTAGGCCAGTGAGGTGGCTTAGCAATGTAGGTGCCCTACAGCTGAGCCTGAAGACATCAATTTGATGCCTGGGGCCCCACAGGCTGGAAGGAGAGAAGCAGTTCCTGGAAGTGGAAGTGGTCCTCTCGCCTCCACATGTGTGTGTGTGTGTGTGTGCAAACACACACAATAAATAAATAAATATAACAAAAATAATTTATAGGTGTGATTGAATAAAAGACATCAATGTCATAGAAGCTGGTGACCAGAGTATGTTGACAGGGGCATTATTGCCCAATAGCCCTGCAGTTTTTGTCCAACATACAGAAAACGTGATCAATTCCAATGTTTCCGTCTGCTCCATCCAGAAGATCTAAATTCACTTGGAACCTTCAGAAGCGTTCAGGATCAGCTTGATGAGAACTGAGGCTCCTGGACCCCATAAAAACATTAGCTTTCACTTTATTTATGTAATATGCTCTAATTATGTAGCCCAAAATGTTGTAAGGTTTCCTATCATGGTTTTGGTAAGATCTCTCACTTACCACAACTAAACTAGCACCTTCCAAGGTACAGTCAAGACACGAGGTTTGAAAAGAAACACAGATTTTAAAAGAAATATTTATTTATTACTGTACGTGTGTATGAGTACAATGTGGTGGATGAGTGTGTGCCCCAGTGCACGTGTGGAGGCCAGAGGATGACTTTATGGAGTCAGTTCTCTCACCTTTACATGTGTTCTGGGGATCAAACTCAAATCACTAGATTTGTGCTGAGCTACCTCTTAGAATAAAGGCCCCTAAAATAACTCTAATAGTAATTTAAATGTTTCAGAAAGAAAATCATATTAGCACCAGTAATTATCATCACAACCCCAATAACCTGGTGAGTGTTAATATGCTAACTTCAAATTTTGAGTCCAACCACACCCAGCACTTGAAGCTCATATGTTTGATATAGAGTCTATAGGTCTACAGAAAAGATCCCATAGCTGAATGGGGTAGTAGGAGGTGGGGCCTAGAGGGCGGAAGTAAGTCATAGGAATTACATCTTTGAAGATTTACACACATACACACACACACACACACACACACACACACACACACACCACTGCTTCCCAGCTGTCACATGGCTTTGCTCAGTGACTACTTCATGGGCCAAAATACATATTTCTTCCTTTAAGTTGTTTTTCTGTGGTACTTTGTCAGAGCAATGGAAAGTGACTAATGGAGAAAAATGTATACTAACAAATGGAGTCAGACTTGGACGTGGGGCTTAGAGGCCGTTGGAACTGGATTTAGGGAGTAATCTGGAAACATTTGCTGAATCGGATGACTCTGGTGGAAGTCCAGAAGACCAAATGCTGATAGGAATTCTCACAGTAAAGACTGTGCTCACAGAATTTCAAATGTGAGGACAGTATTAAGAATGTGACGTCGTTCATGCTGCATTCTGACAAAGAAGTTACCTACAACGTGTCTGAATTATGCTGAGATTTTGTGTGAAGCTAGGTTGAAAGGTGACAGGGCTGGAGAGATGGCTCCGCAGCGAAGAGCACTGGCTGCCCTTGCAGAGGACCCAGGTTCAGTCCCCAGCACCCACATGGCAGCTAACAGTCATCCATAACTCCAGTTCCAGAGGATCTGACGCCTTCTTCTTACCTCTAAGGGCACTGCATGACACGGGTGCACTCACATACATGTAGTCAAAACACTCATACATATAAAAGAAATAAATAAATTCTAAGGCGGCAGACTAATTTGTTTGGTAGAGGAAATTTCAAAGCAGTACAGCACTCAAGCTGTGGCATGAAGATTTCTAGCAGTTTTTAATCCAGATTTATTATAAAGACATGTATGTAAAAGTTGGGGCCAAGGAAAGAGTAGTGGCTTGTAGAGCTTAGTGCCACTAAAAAGAAGCTGCTCCCTTTGTACTGGGACAGTATGAAAGGTACATGTGCCTTGTTTGAACAGGGCAACCTAAGAAAGTGTTTCCCATAATTTTTGGGGTGGATGTGAAGATTGTGAAAGTCAGCAGTGTAATGTTATGGTCTAGATATGAGGTATTCCCCAAAAAGGTTCATCAGTGGGAGGCCTAGTTGCTCTCTAACTGATGGAACCATTAAAAGATGTGTGTATCTTGAAGGCACTGACTTCACCAATGGATTAATCCACTAATGAGTTGATAGCTGAATGGATTATCAGGAGGCAGGAGCTAGTTGAAGGAGGTGGATTACTAGGGAGATGCCTTGGATGGTGTTCTAGTTTGACTTCTATTGCGATGATAAAACACTGAAAAAAGCCATCTTGGGAAGGAAAGGGTTTAATTTCATCTCACGACTCCCAGGTCATAATCCAGTATCAAGGGAAGTCAGGGCAGGAGCTCAAGCAGGAGGCTGGAGGCAGGAACTGAAGCAGAGACCACAGGGGAACGCTGCTTACTGGCTTGTTCCTGTGGCCTCTGCTCATCCATCTTTCCAGGGATGGTGCCATGGGCCCTCAAACATCACTCAACAATCAAGAAAATGTCTCACAGATATGGCCACAAACCAATGTGAAAGAAGAAATTCCCCAGCTGAAGTTCCCTTTTCCCAGGTGCGACATGTTGACAACTGTAGCTATCCAGTACAGTGGGTGCATCTTGTCCCCCCAAGTCTCTTTCTTTCTGTCCCCTCCCTTTGTCCACTTCCAAGCTGCCATAATAAGAGTTTGGTTCACCATGGCCTCCTCACCATGGTGTACTGCCTCACAGTGATGAGGCCATGGAGCCATGGACTGAAACCTCTGAAACCATGAGCTGAATAGATGGTTTCTCCTTTAAGTTGTTATCTCAGCTATCTTGTCACAACAATGGAAAGCTCATACACAATACATTGTTTCAGTGGGCATGGTGGTGCCTACCTATGTTCCCAGTTCTCAGAGTCTGAAGCAGGAGGATTATAACTTTGAGGTCAGTCTGGTCCACATAGGGAGTTCAGGCCAGTTCACAGTGAAACTCTGTCTCAAAACAAGTCAATTTTCAACTGTCTATAAGTTATTCTGTTTCATTCCATTTTAAGCATTAAAAACAAGAACAGGGACTGGAAAAATGGCTCAGCAGTTAAATGCACTGATTACTCTTGCAGAGGACCTAGGTTCAGTTCCCAGCACCCACATGGCAGCTAACAACCATCTGTAACTCCATTTCCAGGGGATCCAACGCCATCTTCTGACCTCTGTAGGCATTCTATGCATAGGTGTACTTAAAACAAAAATAAATAAAGTGGGAAAAGCTATACGTACTTTATTATAAGTCCATTAGACTTTCAGATCCTTCCCAGACAGTGTCTGGTTTGTTTTGTTTTGTTTTGTTTTTGGTCTTTTTGAGACAGGGTCTCCCTGTAGCCCCAGCTGTCCTAGAACTCACTATGTAGGCCAGACTGGCCTTGAACTCACAGGGATTCACCTGCCTCTGCCTCCTGAGTGCTGGGACTAAAGGCGTGTGCCACCATGCCCGGCGAGTGTCTGGTTTTTAAAAGGTTGATGTCAGGCCAATGAGATGGCTCAGCAGGTAAAGGTACCTGACACCAAGCCGAACAACCAGAGTTTGATCCCGAGAGCCCACATAGTAGAAGGAGAGAACCAGCTCCTGCAAGTTGTTCTCTGAGCTTCACATCCACTCTTGGCATACATGCTATAACATGTGTGCACATCCCTGTCCCCCCCCCAAATTAAAGGAAAATGTAAAAAAGCAATAAATAAATATATAAATGAATAATAGCTGCTTCCCTACAGATAGATCTATGGTTTTGTTATACTTTTCATAGGGGGAAAATCAGTAGTACACGTTGTTTGAAAAATTAAAATGCACTCAAATTTACTAAGTCTAACATAGGACAGACTTGCACTGGCCAATGAAATATGAGCAAAAGTGACAGATGGCAATTTCAGGTAGAAATGTCCAGAGTCAGCACCTGGTTTCCTTCTGGTATGAGGTCCAGCCATGTGCCAGAAGAAACCTGTTCTCATATTCTTAATTCCAGAATTTAAAAACTTGAAGCAGAATTTAGCCAGGACATAGTAAACATGAGACATACATCTTTGCTGTTGCAAATCACCTTTACAATACATCCTTGTTATAAAATTTTGTCCTCAATATGTCTAAGCACATGTGGGAGGGAAAAGTCATATCACCAGAGAGGAAACCAAAGTGGCTCAGGGATCAGGCTCACTGTTACACCAACTAGCTCTCATAAAAACTAACTCAGAGTCCTCATAAGAACTATCTTAATCTCATGTTGGGTTTAGCACCCTCAATGATCCGACAACTTCCTATTAAGCCTAACTACTTCCCAACATCACCACAATGGGTACCAACCTCTAACACATGAACTTTGGGATACACATTCAAAATACATCTAACCTGTCGCACTGCCCACTGCACTGCAGACATTGCTTAGTCACCATCAGTGACAAGTTGGAAGAATGTTGCTGACTTGCGACAGGCTTGCCTAAAGTTATGGAAACTGAAGAACATGTGAAGGAAAAGAAGACAGAGGACAGAGCAACAGTGCAGAGGAGGCTAAAAACTCTGCATCCCTGACTCCTCAGCCT